CAGCCTCTCGCAGCCGCTGGACGCTCACAGCCGCTCGCAGCCGCTGGACGCGGAAGCTGCTCATTACATAGCGGCCGCAGATGCCCCAGAACACTAGGGCCGCTGAGGTGGCGAAATCCCGTTCGAGTACATACAGCAGGTGCCCCGCGGATACACGCGCCCCGCTCGAACAATTCTCAACGGATTTACACTTCTCATAAACATGTGTTTTGTATGAGGCAGAGAGACCGGCCCAAATATGGGCATCGGCCCTTTGGGCATTGCCCGGTACGCCCGATGGCCAGTCCAGCCCTGTTCGCTGGCATCCTTGAGCTTGGACTACAAATTCGAAGTGATGCACAGTAGAGGAGGGCTGGGCCGAAGTGTTTTGTTAGACGCCCATGCCCTTATATAGCAGTCTCGCTGCAAATACTGTTACGTAATAATTCTAAACACGTAATAGAGAATGGCAAAATCAGAACGGGTTGAAATATCTTACCTAAACAGAATATGAAGTGTTCTCTGCAACCCATGAAGAGACTGATTTCAACTTTTTTGCACTTCTAGAGGCTCCAACTTCACAACATAAGGCATTTAAGGCACAAAAAGTAGATTTTTCATGATATGTCTCCTTTAAGGTGCTACATAAATAAATATTACTTACTCATATTGTATGAATGGATTACCTGGGATAAGTGTAAAAAGACAAAGCAAAGCCATATTTTTTGTACTTTTTATTGTTACATTCCATACCACCATTGTTTTCAGGAAGGATTCACCTCGGACTGGCCCGGATGAGCTAGAGTAAGTGTGTGGAGAGGAGAGTCTGGGTTCCTTGAATTGAACAAAAGATTTGCCAAAGGCCATGGAAGTGTGGTACTGAAGGCTGAGAGACCTTCTCGAAATGAACCCACCACCAGGGGGCGACCCTATTGCACTCTGGGGTATGATTGGCAGGTCCACAGTGGAAGGCGAGACGGAGGATCAGTTTTATAATGAAAGGTTTGCAAACACACACTGGTAGTCTGTATTCAGTAAAGAAAAATATTCGACACTGTGTCCGAGGAATGGCAATATGTTTGATCAAGCTATGCGCAGTTAACAACCAAGCACTATCTGTCAGAAAGCCGTCGTAAAGCGCTAGTAACCATAGCTACCAGGAGAGATTTCTCAGATAGCTTCACCACAATGTCAAACTATAGTGTCTTTGGAACGTGCTGAGGTCACCTGACAATTATATACGGTATATCCAACTTTTACAGAAATAACCACTCAAAACAGATAAAACACTCAATAACTCCCGTTTGAATCCCAATCCAATTCGGATTTTCCATCATTTTACTTTCTGATAATATCCCTAATTCCCCTTGTGTTACTTTGATGTTTCCAAGGCTGCGTGGACGCACCACTAACTGAAACTTGTGTCCGGACTAAAAGCGAGCCGGCGCTGATCAACTTAGTGTTTGTAAGTGCAGCCTCTTCACCGAACACCCGGTCAAGAGTGCAGGAGCCCACGTTCAGTTCTAAAATAACACCTTAGAAGCAACAGCGTGGAGGAGGCCACTTCCACTCATTTATTCGAGTTTGGGGGACAAAGAGGAGGCTAAAAATTGGACTAATGTACAATACCGCAACCAACACACTACAGTATCTGGTTTTGTATCCTGGCAACCAAACAGTATCCCTGGAAAACCCTTGCTAACCCAAATAATAATAATAAGTGTAACATGGCTTTCCTGGACATTGTGTTCAGGTACTGAATACACAGTGGCAATTAATTACTGTTCCGATTACCAGTGTTCCCACAGGACCTCCCTCACAGAACTAAACAGGACCTGCCCTGGCTTTGCATCAGAGGTCTGACGGACTATGCTTCAAACTGCCCACAATGGCATCATACTGTTAAGTTTTGTTTTCGTCCCTCTTGCCCCGGATCTATCAAGGCGAGCTCGTACTAAATGTTTAGTTGCTGATTGGCCAGAAGTGCTGCTGGAAACATAGTCTTTAAACAAACAGATACTGGTTTGTTGTGGGTAGGGTTAGAGTAAGAGTAGAATAGGTGAAATCGGGTGTTTTTTATCCTGTTGTTTTAAGTTGTGATACTGTCCCTTTTGTAAATCCAATATGAGCCATAAAGGTTTGGACCAATTCAGATGCCTTCATTCGCTGGGAAAAACCCAGCTTGCCTTAGCAACCATCTTAGCAACACGTATGCCCCTGGTTACGGTGTAAAGCTAAGAAAAAGCAGAAATAAATACCCGTATAAGGAAATTGGCTTCAGCAAGCTCAAAATTGGCCTCTTCCACACTAAGGGTAACACTTTAGTGATGTCACACTCCTAATGTACGGTCTGTAAAATAGAACCAAACTTTTTTATAGAGCCAGTTAACTAGCTTTAGGATGGATTTTTATACAGTGATTTTTTTTAGTAGATTGAAAAGGTTAGGTTACGATCCTGGTAGCTTTAAAACCAGTGCGAATGTCAGTTTAAACCACATACCATTTATTTCTCATTTGTCATTTCTTTGCGAAGCAGACACACTCTCCATATGTGCGTGGGCTGAGGACGACATTCTGAAGCTTCCCCAGGGGCAGGTGTGTCGGCCCCTTAAATCGGCTTGCTACTAGCTGCTGTTGCTACACAATGGCTAATCAGCTTTGTAGCAGCTTAAGCTAAAGCCTGCAGAAGCGGAGAGCAGTGTGGGAAACCCGCGTGGCGCTTTTGTTTGTACTAAATACATGTACATTTCATAGACTGTATAGAAGGACAATGCTACAGTGCCTTTGCGAAAGTATTCGGCCCCCTTGAACCTTTCAACATTTTGCCACATTTCAAACTTCAAACATAAAGATATAAAATTTGAATTTTTTTCATGAATCAACATCAAGTGGGACACAATCGTGAAGTGGAACGAAATTTATTGGATCATTTAAACTTTTTTAACAAATAAAAAACTGAAAAGTGGGGCGTGCAATATTATTCTCGGCCCCTTTACTTTCACTTCAGAAGTTCAGTGAGGATCTTTGAATGATCCAATGTTGTCCTAAATGACTGATGATGATAAATAGAATGCACCTGTGTGTAATCAAGTCTCCGTATAAATGCATCTGCTCTTTGATAGTCTCAGGGTTCAGTTTAAAGCGCAGAGAGAACCATGAAGACAAAGGAACACACCAGGCAGGTCCAAGATACTGTTGTGGAGAAGTTTTTGGATACAAAAAGATTTCCCAAGCTTTAAACATCTCAAGGAGCACTGTGCAAGCAATTATATTGAAATGGAAGGAGTATCAGACCACAGCAAATCTACCAAGACCCGGGCCGTCCCTCCAAACTTTCATCTCAAACAAGGAGAAGACTGATCAGAGATGCAGCCAAGAGGCCCATGATCACTCTGGATGAACTGCAGATAACTACAGCTGAGGTGGGAGAGTCTGTCCATAGGACAACAATCAGTCGTGCACTGCACAAATCTGGCCTTTATGGAAGAGTGGCAAGAAGAAAGCCATTTCTCAAAGATATCCATAAAAAGTCTCGTTTAAAGTTTGCCGCAAGCCACCCGGGAGACACACCAAACATGTGGAAGAAGGTGCTCTGGTCAGATGAAACCAAAATCGAACTTTTTGGCCACAATGCAAATGATATGTTTGGCGTAAAAGCAACACAGCTCATCACCCTGAACACACCATCCCCACTGTCAAACATGGTGGTGGCAGCATCATGCTTTGGGCCTGCTTTTCTTCAGCAGGGACAGGGAAGATGGCTAAAATTGATGGGAAGATGGATGGAGCCAAATACAGGACCATTCTGGAAGAAAACCTGTTGGAGTCTGCAAAAGACCTGAGACTGGGACGGAGATTTATCTTCCAACAGGACAATGATCCAAAACATAAAGCCAAATCTACAATGGAATGGTTCACAAATAGACGTATCCAGGTGTTAGAATGGCCAAGTCAAAGTCCAGACCTGAATCCAATCGAGAATCTGTGGAAAGAGCTGAAGACTGCTGTTCACAAACGCTCTCCATCCAACCTCACTGAGCTCGAGCTGTTTTGCAAGGAAGGATGGGCAAGAATTCCAGTCTCTCGATGTGCAAAACTGATAGAGACATACCCCAAGCGACTTGCGGCTGTAATTGCAGCAAAAGGTGGCGCTACAAAGTATTAAATTATCCAATAAATTTCGTTCCACTTCACGATTGTGTCCCACTTGTTGTTGATTCTTGACAAAACATTTTATTTTTATATCTTTATGTTTGAAGCCTGAAATGTGGCGAAATGTTGAAAGGTTCAAGGGGGCCGAATACTTTCGCAAGGTACTGTAACCTGCTAGCTCAATGAAACCCAATTGGGAAGTGCTCATGGACAGAGTTTTGCTCCAACTTGCCTTAGCAACCCATGTTGTTGAAACAATTGCATCCATAAAAGAAAATTGTCTTATGTTTGAATCGGCCTCTTTAACATGGTGATGTCACACTCGGTCAGTCCACTCTTAATACACAGTCTATGTTTTATTTCATTTACTTCCTGTGCGCTTGAAATTGAAAGTCTATGATTTATTCGCGTTCACGCTTCTTTGACTAGTTTGCGTTAAAAGACACGTGTTCTGGAAAATTCTCTCTTTTCTCTATGTCTTTCCAACATTGTTAATCATCAGTCACAGACATAGGGTTGTTTTTAGCTCCATCCATGGAGGAGAACCAGGAAATATAAATTTGTAAATACATAAACAAATATATATTACCCCTAGAGTGTCCTACAGGCCTAAACTTCGGCCCCTAATTTAAGAAGCATTGTTAATTTTGTGTGCTCTTAATACTGTCCTTTATGTGCGCTGCAACACTGAAATTTCCCCACTGTGGAACGAATACAGGTTCTCTTATCTCATCTTCTGCCTCACACGCGTCCCCCCGCCCCTTCTGCCTCAAGGAGGAGTGGGGAATTCATTTCTCTGATGAGGAACCATGTTGGGAGGAGGAGGGTTGATGCGAGTGGATCCAGGGCAGTTCGTAGCCGCAGCCGCCTCATTTCAAAGCCTGATAGATGATGATGATGAGGACGACCATCACCAGAGACAGCACCATGGCCAGAACACACATCCTCTTCCGGGACTTCCTCTGAAACACACAAACACAAACACTGATTCCCAAACTGTTGACATGGTTGCTAACTTTACCCCCGTTTCTACTCTACTCTACTCTACTCTACTCTACTCTACTCTACTCTACTCTACTCTACTCTACTCTACTCTACTCTACTCTACTCTACTCTACTCTACTCTACTCTACTCTACTCTACTCTACTCTACTCTACTCTACTCTACTCTACTCTACTCTACTCTACTCAGCTTCTCAGCAAGAAAGTCCTGGGTTAAAATCCTAGTCGGAACAGGGTCTTTCTGAGTGGAGTTTACATGTTCTCCCCATGTCTGCTCCAGTTTCCTCCGTGTGCTCCGGTTTCCCTTACCACTAAAAACATGTACAATGGGTCTGGCATGAGCCTCCTGTACTGGCGACCAGGAGTGAGAGGGCAAGTGCCCACAATTGTAAAGCGCTTTGTGACTCCGGTGTGTGAAAGGTGGTATATAAATAAAAATGATTTACTTACTACAGATACTAAATCGTCATGTAAACACAACCAGGTAGAGCCAAGTACAGCACAGTACAGTGGGGCTGAGTGGGACTGGTGGGAACAGGTCTTTACTCGACCTATTGGTCAATGACTGGGAAAGGACCCAGCTCTGCTGCTGCGACCTGAAGTAGCAGCAGTAGTAGTAGCAGTTGCAGCAGTAGCAGCAGTAGCAGCAGTAGCAGCAGCAGCAGTAGCAGCAGCAGTAGCAGCAGTAGTAGTAGCAGTTGCAGCAGTAGCAGCAGCAGCAGCAGTAGCAGCAGCAGCAGTAGCAGCAGCAGTAGCAGCAGTAGCAGCAGTAGCAGCAGCAGTAGCAGCAGTAGCAGTAGTAGCAGCAGCAGCAGTAGCAGCAGCAGTAGCAGCAGCAGCAGCAGTAGCAGCAGTAGCAGCAGTAGCAGCAGCAGCAGCAGCAGTAGCAGCAGTAGCAGCAGTAGCAGCAGTAGCAGCAGTAGCAGCAGCAGTAGCAGCAGTAGCAGTAGTAGCAGCAGCAGCAGTAGCAGCAGCAGTAGCAGCAGCAGCAGCAGTAGCAGCAGTAGCAGCAGTAGCAGCAGCAGCAGCAGCAGTAGCAGCAGTAGCAGCAGCAGCAGCAGCAGTAGCAGCAGTAGCAGCAGTAGCAGCAGTAGCAGCAGCAGTAGCAGCAGTAGCAGCAGTAGCAGACAGACTGACCTGGTAGTAGGAAGCCTTCTGCAGCTGAGCCGTGCCCTTGTTCACGTGGACCTCTGCGTTCTCCACGTTGGCCTCGATACTGTCTGAAAACACAACTCTCACATTCACCACAAAGACCTGAAACAAGAACACTGTCCTGCTTCACTTGCTCTGACCCTGTGACCACTTTGCGGCTCTCTGATTGGTTTTAAGATAAGATAAGATAAACTATTACAATGATGAATCCTCTTACAGAGCAGAGATTCAAAATGTGGTTCAGTGGAGTAAAACTAACAACCTCCAGTTGAACGCATTGAAAACATGTGAACTGGTCACGACTTCAGTCGCAATAGTTCTCATTTGCCTGTCGTAATCGACAACTCCCAGGTGCAGATTGTAGAGGAGTGTAAGTTTCTGGGTCTAACTCTGTCTAATGACCTGAAATGGGTTAAAAACACTGACCGAGTCGTTAAGAAAGCTCGTCAGCGTCTCTACTTTCTGCGTAAACTTAGAGAATTTACCACTAACTCTAAGATTCTGCTTAACTTTTATCGCTGCACCATTGAGAGTTTACTTGTTGGTTCTGTGTCTGTGTGGTTTGGAAACATCACAGATAAAGAAAAGAGAGTTTTAAACAAGGTGCTCCGCTCTGCAAATAGGACCGTGGGCTGTGAGCTTCCTGTTCTGGAGGCTCTTTATAAATCCAGACTTTTAAACAAAGCTCTTAAAATCATCAATGACTCTTCTGGCCACCCTGGGAAAGCCATGTTCCAGCTTCTTCCCTCTGGTAGAAGATATCATTCTCTGAGATGCAGGACATCTCGTTATGCTAATAGTTTTTTTCCACAAGCTGTTATCAGTGTGAACAGAGCACTTTAATGATCTTGCTCTTTGTATTGATACTGTTTTAGTTGGTCGATTTCATAGTGACAAAGGTTTACTTTTTTATTTTTTTTATTTCTATACTTTTAATGTTGTTTTATGTCTGTACTTGTCTTGTGCACACTGGGGACTTTTGCAAATGTGGTTTTACTGCAAATGGCGAATAAAATGAATCTCAATCTGTATTTGTATATGATTATTGATCTCACAATGGAGAAATTTGCACGTGTGGCCAGGGGTAAAAATTTTTTTTTTTACACTCAGGGTTGTTACCAAGCATTTATTGGTCAAAATAAAATAAAAAATTATTATTATATTTTAAGATTAATGAAAAAAATGAAAATCGAATATGGTTTTTGAGCTTTAGTCCCAGCCCCATAGTGTTAGCCTTAATGCAGAAGAGACTGATTTGAACATAAGATAGCTGGAGCCACTTTCCTTAAATTGGCAATTGTTTCAACAGCGTTAGTTTTGCACTGTAGCAAAGGCAAACATGTTGCTAAGACAGTTGCTGGAGTATCCCCGCAATTGAAGGCATCTGATTGGTCGATCCTTATAATAATAATAATAATAATCTTTATTTGTATAGCACTTTTAAAAACAGTGTTTACAAAGCGCTGCACAGTCAGCATGATAAACAATAAAATAATGCAAGGTCAAAATAATTAGATACAGAAACACAAAGCAAACAGAGCAAAACACAAAAGAGACTCAACAAAGACAAAGCAGACAATAAAATACAGCATCGGAAGTTTAAAACTAACAGTTAAAAGCTGTTTGATAAAAGTGGGTTTTAAGAAGAGATTTAAAAGAGGATACTGATGGTGCTAGCCTTATCTCCTCGGGCAGGTCGTTCCAAAGCCGAGGAGCCCGGACAGAGAAGGCTCGCTCACCTTTCGTCCGGAGCCTCGACCTTGGAACAGTCAACAGGGACCTGCCCGAGGATCTAAGGCTGCGGGGGGGCTCGTAGGGGGTTAAAAGTTCAGAAATATAGCTGGGTGCCAGACCTAAACGAGCTTTAAAAGTAATCAGTAAAATCTTAAAATCAATTCTAAAACGCACAGGGAGCCAGTGGAGAGACGCTAAAACAGGGGTGATGTGCTCCCTTCTGTTAAAACCAGTGAGAAGTCTGGCTGCTGCGTCTGGACCAGTTGGAGGCGGGAGAGGGATTTAGCGTCGAGACCGGAGAGGAGGGAGTTGCAGTAGTCGAGGCGGGAGAAGATGAGGGCGTTGACGACTTTATGGAGATCGGGAGGAGTGAGGATGTTTTTAATCTTTGAGATTGTGCGGAGGTGATAGAAGCAGGTTTGAGTGGTTTTATTGATGTGGGAGCGGAAAGTGAGGTGAGAATCAAAAATGACACCAAGGTTATATGGCTCATATCAATCTAAGTCAATAGGAGCCAGAGCAATGAGCACTTTTCTATTGAGCTTTATAGAGCAGTTAGAGCGGTTAGCATTGCCCATCTAAATACAGTTATGGTCCAGAGGTGGAATTGAACTATAGACAATGCTATAGGCCTCCCCCTTTCACAGCTGAGGGAGAATTCACTGACAATCAATGGAATTAACTGGAAATCATAATGTTCCTCACCGATCATCTCTCCCTGGTCGTGGATCATCACAGCGAGGTCTTTGAAGATCTGGTTCACGTCCATGATGTCGGACTGAGGACACATACACACACGCACAGTTATGTCTGCTCACTTTGGCCCATCGTACACAGGTCCAGAACATACCACTTGGCATCAAAGTTTAATGTCAGTGAGATTTTGGGCTGATATGGAATGTCACACATTATTTTTGTTACTTTTGTTTGCGCTGGAAAACGGCAGCAGGTCCGAAGTAGCTCTGAAACAGTTGTTGTTTTGTGCTTTATACATTTTCTTTTTCTTTCTTTTTCCTACCTGAGATGTTGCTGCAGTACAGTCTTCATGGTTTTGCACTGGTCCAGACCAGAGCAGAGAGGATTTATGGTCCGAACCAAATGGATCAGATGATAATCCACTGGAGGAATGCTAACTTTTTGAAAAATGCTAATGAAGCATTTAGCATTTTACTTTGGACTAGAGCAGAGAAAATGGTCCAAACCAAGTGGCTACTCCACCTTGTGACCCGTCCTGCTCCACCCAGAGGCTACTCCACCTCTGCTGCTGTGACCCGTCCTGCTCCACCCAGAGGCTACTCCACCTGTGCTGCTGTGACCCGTCCTGCTCCACCCAGAGGCTACTCCACCTCTGGTGCTGTGACCTGTCCTGCTCCACCCAGAGGCTACTCCACCTCTGCTGCTGTGACCTAAAGGGCTGTTGCTGATTATTACTATTGTTAGCTTTTTTGAATGATCAATTTTATTTTTTATTTTTACTGCTACTGGACACCTGAATTTCTCCGACGGGGATCAATAAAGTGTCTATCTATCTATTTTGAAGCTTTTTGATAGAAAAACAACCACAGCCTTTACATTATCATACACATTGAACCCTTATGCAATAAACTTTATTCAGCCCAGCATTCTACAGCCCTGTTTCCACCAACCTATTTGGCCCTACTCTACTCAACCCCAATTTGGAGCCTTTCCACCGGCTCTGTTTAACCAGTACTAGGTAATTTTAAGTACCTGCTTGTCCTTGGTTCCATCCAGGCTGAGGATACGGTAATAGATACGAGAGCAATGAAAACACAACCAAGTAGAGAAGAGTAGGGCCAAGTAGGGCTGGTGGAAACAGGGCTTTTTGAACCCATTTTCTAAAACTTAAAATAACTCTGGGCTGAGAGCTGATTGTCTGGATGTCTTTGTCTTTTCTGTCTGAAAAAGCTGATGAAAAGATGTGACAGAGGCCAAATATAGATGTGCATGAGAAAACTAGCGATAGAAGCAACTGTTTTAAGAGCGAGGGACTAGTTCCACGAATTGTATTACATTCTGTTGTATTTTAGTGTTTTTAATGTTCAATACATTTAACTAAAGTACAGTGCATCACCTAAACATTTCTTAGTGCAGCCCAAGGACAAAGCTCCTCGTGAACACATGGGGCAAATGTAATGAGTGTGCTTTGTACCTCCAGCTGTCGGATGTTGGTCTCCCGCTCCCGGATCTCCTCCAGGTCCTCCACAGTGATGCCCGGCTCCTGGCTCTGAGTGACAGCCTGGCCCCACTCATCCTCCCTGCAGAATTTGTGAAAAAAACACCTATTCATCTGAACAAAGCAGTTTAATGATCTTGCATTTGAATTGAAACAGTTCAGTTGATCAATTTCAATTGTTGACAATTTTTGTAGTACTTTTTTAAAGCTTTTTTATTGATGTTCTTGTCTGGTGCACACTGAGCTTTTCCAATGTGGTTTTACTACAAATGGCAAATAAACTGAATCTGAATCTGACAAGGAGGTGAGAGGGATCGGAAAGAGGATGCGAGACATTGACCTTCTGCCCGTGATACAAGTTCTATGCACAGACATGGAGAGAATCTTACTTTTGGTTGTTTGGGTTTTTTGTGGTTCATTAACAAGTTTGTCAAACATATTTACAGATTGTAAGCAAACTTTGACAGTATACAAATATAATAAAACCAATAATGAAAAACGAGATACAAAAAAGAAATAAATCTTACTTTTCAAACGTCACCAGATGGTCATTCAGGTCTCCATCCCCCTGTAACAAAAACATGTGCCTCAAATCCTTTGACAGAGAATAATGTTTTCATCAAACCATCATCTCCTTAGGGAAGGACCAGAGAGAAAAGAGAGAATAGGGAGACCAGAGAGAATAGAGAAAGAAGAGAGACTAGAGAGAATAGAGTGAGAATTGAAAGAAAGACCAGAAAGAGCCTAGAGAGAATGTAGAACATGGGTGTCAAAGTCAAGGCCTGGGGGCTAAATCTGGCCCGCAAATGAATTATCTTGGCCCCCGGGATGATATTTGATCAGTATTAGAACCGGCCCTCTCAGAGCCATAGGAAAGTATTGGAATTAATTCAATGTTCAGGACATATTTGATTATTCATTTAATCACTACATAAAATATGGTACACTGTGTTGGGTGTTGGTTCAATAGGTTGTCATCATTTTCATATGTTTTAATAAACACTGAACCAGTCCGGCCCTCGGCTTGTAGCAAATTAGTTTTTTGGCCTTTGATGTATTGGACTTTGACATCCCTGATATAGACACTTTCCACCATAATTTGTACTCACCGCGGTCCTGGACCCAGCTTTGGCTCGTGCCACAGTCTCCTTTTGTCTGTCGGCAGCTCGTCTCTGCACCACCTGGAAGTTATTGAGCGCCGCAGAGAAGTCGCTCATCAGACGCTCCTTCTGCAGCTTCTGTTGTCTCTAAAACACAGGAAAAAACACATTAACTATAAAAAAAAAACTGGTGGTGCAGGATTTAAAGACCTCAACTTTAATGCGTTTTTGACTTCTCCATTTGGTTCATATAAAACAAAAGTGCTAAGGTGAGCCTAGATTGAATGTTTTATAAAGTCACAGCACAGTACACCCAGGACCTGAGAGAGACTAGAGAAGAGACCAGAGAGAGACCAGAGAGAGAGACCAGCGAGAAAGACCATAGAGACCTGAGACAGACCAAAGAGAGAGACCAGAAAGAGAGCCCAGAGAGAGACCAGAAGAAATTACACTATGATGAACTGTGGCAAACTTTCCAACATTCCGTTTGGTGTCAGTGTGCCCCAGGGCAGCTACAGTAGTAGTTTATCACCACCGTGTATGGAGTGAATGAATGATGACTTGTGAAGCGTCTTTGAGTGTCCAAAAAAGCGCTACATACTGTAAAACCAATGCATTATTATCATCATTATAGGAAACTAAAGTCCCACGGCTTGAGAGAGAGAGAAGGGAGAGACCAGAGAGAGCTGAAAGAGACCAGAGAGAGACCAGAGAGAGCTGAAAGAGACCAGAGAGACTAGAGAGAGAGAGACAAGAAGAAATCACATTATGACGGACTACGGTATGTTTCTCCTCTACGGGGAACAATATAAACACCAACATATTTTTCACAAGGACAACTTTATAAAGGAAAGCGCAGCACATGCAAAAGCCCAATCTCTGACGGTAAGAGCTTCACTCACTCAAACACAGCTCCACGGCTCGTTACGCTGTCATTATGCAAAGTATTGTCCATTGTGTGACTGCTAGCAGAGCGAGAGACAAGAGAGAGACAGAAAGACATGAGTGACTAGAGTGACCAGAGAGAATAGAAAGACCAAGAAAGACTCCATAGGATGAGGGTATGATTACGTCTGGCCCCTCACCTGTTCAGACGGAGACATGGGCGGAGCCAGCGCCCCCAGGTCCTTCAGATGTTGGTTGGTCTCTTTGGCGAGCTGGTTTGTGTAGTGCTGAAGCTGCTGTCTGAAACACAGCAGAAAACAACTCACACTTTTCCAACAGCAGCAGAACGGGTTTGAAGATGTGGTCCAAGACTTACAGCTTGTCCTGAGGAGCAGAGGTCTCATGGTCACTGCCCAGCTGGTGCAGGAGGCTCTTGATCTGACCAGCTACGAAGAAAACAATCTATCATCAACTTAAAGAAGACATAACATGCTTCTGTCAGCTGTATAGCATCCACTGTGTACATCGTATTTCTCCAAATCAATGTAATAAAAATGAAAAGGTCCAATTTGATCAGTCCTGCCGTAACGTTCTGAGCTCTGTCCCTCACGTCACATTCTGTGCAGTGGGATAAATGAAAGAACGAGGCTGTGTTTCTAAACGTACCAGAGAATAATGTCCCCTACACACAGCACATTTCTTTGGAAGTGGAAAGGCTCTTGCAGCGGTGCAGGTAGAAGGTTGCAGGACTGATTCCAGATACGCACCCTTCATAGAAACCCGGAGCAGACTACAGGAAACGCACTTCTCCGCCAAAAACACGAGCCACGCATATATTTCCAATGCCAGGTGCAGGTAGTGACGTAGCTTTCAGTCGAAACACATGTGAAACATATTTGTGCTGATGGTCTTTGACACTAAATCTTGGTTTAATTTTGAATGTGCTAAAAACAGCAGCAAGTCCTGAGTAGCTCTAAAACAGCTGTTGTTTCCCCTTTTACAATCGTTATTTTTCTACCAGTAAATATTACTGCAAAACAGTGTTCGTGGTTTTACACTGATCCAGACAAGAGCAGAGAGGATGGTTCCAACCAAACAGATCAAGAGTAAATCCACTGGAGGAATGCTAATAAGACATTGAGAATTTCACTCTGAACCAGAGCAGTGAAACTTGTCTGAACCAAGCAGACTGCAAACATCAACAAGGGGCTTCACCACCTCTGCTGCTGTGATCTAAAGTTCTGCTATACTTTATTACTATTGTTAGTTACATTTGGATGTATTGATGTGTTTCTGCTGCTGGACACCTGAATTTCCCCAACGTGGATCAATGAAGTATCTGTCTATCTATCTGGATCAGCTCCACTTTGGGCAGCTGATGTTTTTGTGAATGTGCTATACAGATAAAGCTGACATTGACTGGCAGCAGTTTCAGAAAGTCTGTTTCTTCGACTATGACAGATCGGTCCATGTTGTTTACAGTCTGAGGGAGCGACTCGGTACTCACTGTTGTGGGAGATCTTCTGGATGTTCCCGCTGCAGACCTGTATCAGACCGCTCCAGTCCCGCGGCTGGGGCTCTGCACGGCTGTATGACATCATCAAACGGGGACGAGCGCACCTTCGACACGTTTCTGGATCTGCTGCTTAGAGACCTGAGGCAAAAACCAAGAGTGAAACCGACATGTCTGTGCCCCTGCCAAACCGTGTGTCAGAGAAATCAACAAACAGGAGCTAAAAGAATTGGTATTGTCTGAGTGATGGCGTCATGTTCAACGACATCAATAGATCAATCACATTATTCTGATAAATTGTCTTTTTCTCCATGATCCACTCTGCTCCTCCTTAATCACTGACCTGCAGTTGTGTTCAGCCCCATACACAATAACAAAAGCAGTTTTAAAAATCGTTGGCCAGAGCTGTGTCCTGAAAAGTTTTGCGGTGGAGATATGATAAGAAAAAATGATTCTGATTCTGATTCTGAGATATCAAATAAATGTAAACTATTGGTTCAAAATGTCTCAGGATTTAAAATATGCATACTTAAACATTGTCTACTATACTGAGGTACATTTCAAGCAAAGAGATATAGCTAGCTAGAGATAGCCATGAAGCTAGAGATAGCTTCATGGCAACAAGTGGGTAGCAAATGCCCTCTGAAAGTTACACAGATCAGCTTTAAAATCATTATAAAACACATGAATTAATATATCAAATGTTATTCTGGGAGACGAGATCCTTTTCTCAATGTGGGCCTGTTTTTATTTTCTCTAAGTGGTTCCTCACTGATGGAGAAGGGTCTGAGGACAGTGACAATCCAGACATTTAAGAACATTTATAAACATTTCTGGACAGTGATCCTCCCACTCCCAATGGACCACTCTATGTGTCTGTTAATATTATATTTCCTGTGTTCAAACTGTTTTGTTCTCTGATCTGTTGTTAATGAATCAACAACTTTGTAAAGCCCTCCAAGGCGACTGCAGTAGTGATTAAGGGATTTACAGTAATAATAATAATGCATCACTTTTATATGAATTCATTTGTTACACGGTGGTGATACACTACTGCCGTAGCCACAGATGCCCTGGGGCACACTGACAGAAGCGAGGCAACCAGTCTGTGTCATCAGCCCCTTCGACCACCAACCACGCACACTCCAAACTATCCCAGAAAAACATGAATTAATGTGAATTGAATTAATGAAATATATTTGCCAACTTTGTATAGCTCTGAATGGGAGTGTTTAACTACGTTTATCCCAATCTTTTCAATTTAATACATTTTCTCACATTCTGAAACATGGAACTTATTATTATAATAGATCCATCCCGTTTATAACCGTCACATGTTGACTTCGTTTACAAAAAGTCTAATCTCATTCGTTCTACATTCCGTCATAAATTGTGTCGCAAATTGGGTCATTGACGCGTCACGTGGAGCGACCGCATAACCATCAACCAAAGACCATAAACCATCAACCAAAGACCATAAACCATCAACCAAAGACCATAAACCATAAACCAAAGACCATAAACCATCAACCATCAACCAAAGACCATAAACCATCAACCATCAACCAAAGACCATAAACCATCAACCAAAGACCATAAACCATCAACCAAAGACCATAAACCATCAACCATCAACCAAAGACCATAAACCATCAACCAAAGACCATAAACCATCAACCAAAGACCATAAACCATCAACCATCAACCAAAGACCATAAACCATCAACCAAAGACCATAAACCATCAACCAAAGACCATAAACCATCAACCAAAGACCATAAACCATAAACCATAAACCAAAGACCATAAACCACAGGCAAACGCAAACGTTACACATAAAATTGACCATTTAAAACTGCTGTATATATTGGCAGATAATGAGATTACAATAAAAACCTCCAGACACAGCCGTTATAGCGGTCAAAACAAAGCGCCTCTTGATGGATCAGGGCGTTTGGAGCAGAAATAATGAAACAACAGCGAGTTTCTTCACATAAAAGACTTACTGAGACGCAGATGGATGATGGTAACGTCCCACAAATGTGAAGTCCTCTGGAAATTAGTGTTTATTAGTGGAAAATACGAGAAAAGCAGAGGTGCGCGCACACATACACAGCACGCAGCCCAATGTAGACGTCAATCCCGGGTCTGAGGAGAGAGCGCGCGCTGTGCTGGGGCTGAAGCAGACGAGGCGGCCATCTTGTGTATGGAAGACAATATAAAACTTTCTTTTAAATTGATAATAACTAATAAGTAGATAAAGTGACATTTAGCGGACGTTCTTGGACATGACTGCAGTATTTGCTATTTACAAATGAGATGACATGTACAGTCTGACAAAGGAACAAAGGAAAAATTCAAATTAAAAACAAAAATGTATTGATACAAGTCTAAAGGAAGGTTAATACAGTATTAGACTTTGTTTGGCGGGTAGAATACTTTGATAATGCACTTGAGTAATGTTACAGTAATGTTACATGAGTCAAGGATGGGTTGTGTTCCAAAGAGCCTATAGTTTTACATTGTGGAATAGGCCAGCTGCAACATTTTTACAGGAAACTATGGAAAGTGATTTTTAGTCTTAGTTAAGAGCTAATTTCTCTGTAAATCATGAAATAAAAACAGTCACAACGTTCTGCATCTTCTTTGACAGTACATGTCAACTATGGTCTCATTGTTTTCTCATTAGGGACAATATTCAAAAACCCAATTAAAGATCATAAACTTTATTGATCTCACAATAATTCAACAGAATAAACCAACCCATGGGCGGCACGGTGGCTGAGTGGATAACACTCTCGCTTCTCAGCAAGAAGGTACTGGGTTCGAAACCCGGTGGGACCAGGGCCTTTCTGAGTGGAGTTTGCATGTTCTCTCCGTGTCTGTGTAGGTTTCCTCCGGTTTCTCCTACCACTAAAAACATGTACAATAGGTCTGGCATGCGCCTCCTGTACTGGCGACCCCGCTCCCATCTCTGTGTGGAGTGAGAGACAAATGCCCAAAAATAACAATTGTAAACCGCTTTGAGACTCTGGTCTGTGTGGGCGGTGTATAAATAAAGATTACTTACTTACTACTACATGTTGAGTGGCTGCGTTCATACTGTTTTGGCTGAATAGTTGATTAAAACAAATATTTCAATGAATGAATATTATGACTTATTCTGCTTTAGAATACACAAGATGGCCGCCACTTTCTCTACCAGAGAGCGCGTGCTCTCTCGTTTTTTCCGTTGCTAAGGGCAAATCCGAGGCCGCTTCACAAACAATAACAGTAGTGGGACAAAATCATTTCGTTTGAGAGTTTGAATAAACGTGAAAAATTCCAGCCTTAAAAATCAACATATTCTTTACACAAAGACACTTTATACTTAACACGTAGCTCATGCAATAACCAAAATGTTTTTTATTGATAAATGAAACCACTTTTTTCTCGAAGTACTCTTGTCAAATGTATTATTGAGTTTTGGAATTTTATAGTTTAAAACGTGAACACAAAAAAAGCAAAAAAGGTTTACAAGCGTTTGTTTGTATAGATATATCTAAATGAGACAAATCATGGCTTATTTCTTAATATTAACAGCTTGATATATTTATTTTCTACGCTGATTCTGACCGAACTGTCCCGTGCTTGTCCCATGACTTCCACACGAGCGCTAATGATGTTAAAGACACGGAGGACGCGATCATTTTGCTAATAGTGAGAATGTCTGGAGTATAAATTGTATTGCATTCATTCGTCGTCCACATGATGTCGCTGCTGAAAAGATGTGAGAATGGACGCTTGGATTAGTGTCTAAAGCCTCATTCACACTGAGCAAAACCACCTGAAATGTCTCCCTAAAACTCCAGGTACTGTTTTCCCACACACTGAGGGACATGGGCTGGTGTGTCAGAACAACTTGGCATCCAACCCGCCTTACGGTCGAGTCTTTTTACCGAGCCGCGGTTTGGAGTGAATAAATCAAACTATTTTCAAAACCATGGCTTACATGTGGCTTAGGTTCAAGTCAGTTAATGTTTGTATAGCCCAAAGCTTCTTTCCACAAGTTTTTATCAGTTTGAGCAAAGCACTTTAATTGTTCTTCGATTTCACAGTGACAATTATTTCTGTACTTTTAGCTTGTTTTGCTCCTGTACTTTTTTCTCTTAAAGAACATGGCAGGTTTTCACAACTTCTCTCAGGCTTTGAAGGACTGCACGCATTAACAGTATCAGACGGGTATAATGGCTTTCAGATGATACCCTCGTGCCGTGGGTACATCTGAGAGCCATTATTATTATTAAATGTTTGCAAATTGTGTCATACTTTCCATATCGCTGTTAACAGTAACTATGTCCATCCATTTTCTACCCTTTAATCCATTTCTGGGTCAGGGGGGTGGCCGTCAGAGATGCCACCCAAGTCTCATAGCACCAGCCCCTCACTGACCCTCTGCAGGTGGTGAGTCCACAGGAGGACGGCTGCTCTCTGAGTGTGAGCATAGCCTCTTTCAGTGGGGGCTTTGGGCAAAGTGGGGTTAAGTGTCTTGCCCAAGGACACAACAACAGCAGTCATCAGTGGGAGTTGGTGGAGAAGGTGCAGAGGTGGGAATTGAACCCACAACCTTCAGGCCTGTAGGCCAATGCCCTACCAACTGAGCTACTGTCGACAGTAACTATGTTAACTGTATGTTAATGTGTATTTTTGTAACTTACACTATTATTTTCATGTTTTTTTAGTAACCTGCACTCTGCACTTTTAGTTTGAACTGTATTATTATGCAAGTTATATGATAGTATTGTCAAGGACCACAGGTGGAAAGTAGCATGGAGCTAAATCTGGTGCAGCCTTCTTTTTAATGCAACTGCACTTTGTACCTAATAAACCATGCTTCAATCTTCAAACTACCTTGATTTACTTTTCGAACCAGGTCCAAGTTATTTATCTTTTTTATTGATATATGTAAAAATATGTTCGTAGCAAGTTAAAAATAAATGAAAAAAAAAAAAAAAAATAGCGTACTAGTCTGGTGCACACTGGGGACATTTGAGCATGCATTCCAATGTACTTTTACTGCAAATGGCAAATAAAATTAATATGAATCTGAACTAGTGGGGACGGGTCCTGGCTCTAAAAGTACCATGAGCACGTGCGCTGTAATGCTTCCAATCTCACTTCTAGCAGGTGGAGGTGGACCCGGAATAAGAGCTACTGGTCGGCACTAGATTATATACAGAATTGGGATAACAAACTACCTAAACTAATAGATCCATGCCTAAACTTAACCAGCCATTCCCATAGAAAAACCCCAACCCAGCCCTAACCATCTTACACAAACACCTAAAACTTAACCAGTCACCACTTGAGGACTTATTAGTCTAAAACTGATTCAAAAGTGGACCAGTCTAGTTAAGCTGCTGTGGACATCATAAAGGCTAACACACGTGCAAATGCGTTTTGACAAAATATTCCTGCCCTGCGGCCATTTTGAAAACCCCACACAGAAGGCAAAAGTGGTGTCACATTATTTTCAACGGCAGAGATAGGCGTGACTACGTTGTTAATATTTACAGTCTGTGACACTGCTCATGATATATACAAGTTTATTAAAAATGACAGCATTAGTGATCATTCCCACACGGCTTCATAATGGACTTGTCGGCGAATGGTAGGTCAGTTGTTTTCTATCTCCACGGTCTGCTCCTGAACGTAGACGATGTAGTGGTGTGTGCTGTCTCCCTGTGTGAGCACCGTCAGAGCCTCCAAGCCCTCCGCCTCCTGCACCACCACCACCTGCTCCTCCGCCTCCTGCACCACCACCACCTGCTCCTCGGCCTCCTCCACCACCACCATCTCCTGCTCCTCCGCCATCTGCAGGACAAACACCAAACCTCACTTTTAGAATATAGGGACGTCCTGCGTGACGTCACGCCATTTGGAGCAGCCATTTTGACGGTGTAGAAATGCAAAACCGCCGGTGATACTACAGGTAGTAGCGAGATTTTCCTATCATACCGGAGCAATGCTGTGCAGTTGGATGCGACCAGATACGTGATCAGACAAAAGGAATATCTTTATACCGAGTGCACGGAGGATTTCAGAATTATTTTTTCATGTTTTCATGACAAAAATACAAGTATAATAAGCCTTCAGTGCCTGTCACCACTGTGTAGAGAAGCTATTCTTCTTTGTTCAGTTTTCATGTAGTTCCAGAGAGTTTTCGAACTAGCTAGCTTAGCTCCATTGCTGCGGAGTCGGCGGACGGATACCGTCAAAATGGCTGACACACGGCTATGGGTCACGTGACTGGGAGATCCCTATAGTACTCATAATACATATCCTGAATCTGCATTCTGGACTCCTCAAGACCTGTGGACTAGTCCCCAGTGTGCACCCTTGACTCCTCTAGACCTTTGGACCAATCCCCAAGCTGACTCCTGGATTCCTCTAGACCTGTGGACCAGCCCCTAGTCTGCTCCCCGGACTCCCCTAGACCCGTAGTCCAAAATTTAAATTTGGAGGTGCTAATTTCCATCCCAATTACTTCACACACAGCTCAAACTGTCATAATACTTTTGCATACTTCTAAGAAATCTCACTTTTTGGGCTGAGAGCTGATTGGCTGAGTGAGGGTGGTGCTCTCTTTGTCACTTTTATGTCTGAAATAGCTTATCTAAATATGTGGCAGGGGACAAAGACAGATGTATGTGAAGTGAAGGAGAAGAAGGTAGAGCAAGTGGAGGACAGGAGGGTCATCCAGGCTGGGCCAGGACCGTCGCCCCCTGCAGGACACTGTCTCAGCAGCTTCAGTGACAGACTGATCCACCCTCACTGTGTGAAGGTGAGGCTATGTAAGTCTTTTCTGGAAATCTCTCTTAATCCCAAAAGGTTTTAGAGCCAGAACCTATAAGGACATGATTTTTATGACCTCGTTCCATTGTTGTCCAGCTAGGTTCCCCAGCTTTAAACAGGACTGGACTCTTCCTAGCCGTTTACCTGCTCCATGACGGTGACGGCGCCCGGAGCCATGGCAACCATGGGAGTGACGGCGTGGTGGAGGTCGGAGTTCAACTCTGTGATCTGCTGCAGGATCTTCACAGCTTCTACAGACGAGACACACACAAGTTAAAGAAGACATATCCTCTCTTCCAACATTGTTCCTCATCAGTCACAGACCCGATGTTTTTAGATCCATCCATGCTAATATCAGGAACTTCTGGCCCACCCATGTAGCTTCGTCCCTTCTGTCTAAAAGTTCCAGTCCCAGTCCTGTACATTTCCCATAACATAGTTTTGGTAATTTCTCAGGTTAAATGACACAATTCTTTACAATGACATGTCTGTGTTTGCAGCTGGTTATTTTCAAATTCAGAAAAAAAAAAAAATATATATATATATTATAGTTTTTATTTGCAGAGGATCTGATTATAGAATTAGATTGAGTATCTATATATGGGTCACTCATCGCTGATGTTCACAATTCTTTGTTCAGTTTTCGTGTAGTTCTGGAATGTTCCTTCAACGGGAACGTCCAGTTTAAAAAGTAGCGATCCCAGCTGTTACTTGTGCTAGTGTGGGAACTATGTTATTTGCAGTCAGTAAATAAACCTTTCGGCATTCATAAAAGTGGACCGAAGTTTATTCTGTGTGTTCAGTTGGCAGATGGAAAAGAACCTTAATCGGACCCCTTTGCAGGTTCGCCATGTTGGTATTTATTATCAATAATGAAATGCGTTCTATACATTATTCATTACTCTTAATTGGTGTTTATTAAGAACTCATTAGTCCTTATTCAACATTCAACACTTCCCCATACTCTAATTAGCACTTATTTAGCCGGTAATTAGTGAGGGATAATTTAAGTGTTTCTTTCAAAATTTCCCATTACAAAACATGTTAAAGACTGAAATTGAAATTATAAGAACCTTCGAAACATTGAGGAATACGACTTTTTGACATATTTTCAAAACAGACAAATCTTTTTCTGTAGATCAACTCACCGCTGTCCTGGAGGGTTTCGGTGAGCTGCATCTGCTCCTCCACCGGCACAAACTGGGTCTCCACCGCCTCAGTCTCCTGCAGACGTCCAACACAACATCACGATTACTACATGTGATTTATGTATGACTTTGTCATTCACACACTCAAAGCTACGGTCTGACCCCTGTTAGGTCCAGTCTCTATTGGTCCATAAATGTCTCTGATATTTATATACTATAGAACACACTTTTGTCAAATGTAATCACACAACATTTTGGTACTTTTAGCATTGATTTTCACACAGGTTCAACTGCAAAGAGACCAGAGAGGGACCAGAGAGGCACCAGAGAGAGACCAGAGAGAGCCCAGAGAGAGGCCAGAGAGAGGCCGGAGAGAGTCCAGAGAGAGCCCAGAGAGAGGCCAGAGAGAGTCCAGAGAGAGGCCAGAGAGAGACCAGAGAGAGACCAGAGAGAGACCAGAGAGAGACCAGAGAGAGACCAGAGAGAGACCAGAGAGAGGCCGGAGAGAGTCCAGAGAGAGGCCAGAGAGAGTCCAGAGAGAGGCCAGAGAGAGTCCAGAGAGAGGCCAGAGAGAGACCAGAGAGAGACCAGAGAGAGGCCAGAGAGAGGCCGGAGAGAGTCCAGAGAGAGGCCAGAGAGAGTCCAGAGAGAGGCCAGAGAGAGTCCAGAGAGAGGCCAGAGAGAGACCAGAGAGAGACCAGAGAGAGGCCAGAGAGAGGCCAGAGAGAGTCCAGAGAGAGGCCAGAGAGAGTCCAGAGAGAGGCCAGAGAGAGACCAGAGAGAGACCAGAGAGAGACCAGAGAGAGACCAGAGAGAGACCAGAGAGAGGCCAGAGAGAGTCCAGAGAGAGGCCAGAGAGAGTCCAGAGAGAGGCCAGAGAGAGACCAGAGAGAGACCAGAGAGAGACCAGAGAGAGGCCAGAGAGAGTCCAGAGAGAGGCCAGAGAGAGTCCAGAGAGAGGCCAGAGAGAGTCCAGAGAGAGGCCAGAGAGAGACCAGAGAGAGACCAGAGAGAGGCCAGAGAGAGACCAGAGAGAGGCCAGAGAGAGACCAGAGAGAGACCAGAGAGAGACCAGAGAGAGACCAGAGAGAGACCAGAGAGAGGCCAGAGAGAGGCCGGAGAGAGTCCAGAGAGAGGCCAGAGAGAGTCCAGAGAGAGGCCAGAGAGAGTCCAGAGAGAGGCCAGAGAGAGACCAGAGAGAGACCAGAGAGAGACCAGAGAGAGGCCAGAGAGAGACCAGAGAGAGGCCAGAGAGAGACCAGAGAGAGACCAGAGAGAGACCAGAGAGAGACCAGAGAGAGACCAGAGAGAGGCCAGAGAGAGGCCGGAGAGAGTCCAGAGAGAGGCCAGAGAGAGTCCAGAGAGAGGCCAGAGAGAGTCCAGAGAGAGGCCAGAGAGAGACCAGAGAGAGACCAGAGAGAGACCAGAGAGAGGCCGGAGAGAGGCCAGAGGGAGAACAGAGAGGGGCCAGAGAGAGCCCAGTAAAAGACTAAAGAGAGACCAAATAGAGAGAGGCCAGAGAGAAACCAGGGTTTAAACCAGAAACCAAAACAAATCAATAAAACCCGTGCAGAGGGGCTGTGTGCTTCATCACAGGATGAGGGAATGGTCTGTTGGGCCGAAATACACTTCTAATATAACCATGACTTTTCCCTGCGCTCTTAAACGCCTCTGCTGGCCTTGTCTCAACCATGGCCTTGTTTCATACCCCAATCACAGATCCGGTTTTCACTCACACAACATCAAACGCTGTTGATTGTACTGTGTTCAGAAGCATGAATGTGTATTTATATAAATCAGAAATACCTCGAATGAGATCTGCAGCAGGTTCAGCCGGTGCTCCGACTTCAGGTGGCGGTTCAGATCCCTCTTGTTTCCGTGGACAGAGTCGCACACCGGGCATTTCAAACCTAAAGCACATTGACTTCATGAAACAACACAAACAGACATCGATCGATTGATTGATTGATTAATGTTCACTTTTGAATGTGCTGGAAACGGCAGGAAGTCCAAAGTATCTCTGAAACTGTTGTCGTTTTGGGTTTTACAATCGTTGTTTTTTTATTTATCCATTTATCTATCAATTATTAAGCACTTTAATAGGAGTTTTTTCTGATTTAAACATGACTGTTGTTTTATAGACAAAATCGAGTTTTACAACAAAAAATCCACAGTCTAAATAAAGGAGAACACAAATGGATTACTTTGGAGCAGCACTTTTGGCTTATTGTACAAGATGGTTGCCGACATCCCTCCAGTGACGTCATCTACAACCATCTAAAGCTGTGGTACATAACTTTCGGATGAGGTTCATGAGAAAGAAAAAATAGGTACCTCAGCTTTAAACATTTGAGAATGCAAACAAGGATAAAATAGCAAACGGCTAACTCTTATTTTATCATCCATCCATCCATCCATCCATCCATTTTCTTCCGCTTCATCCGTTGCCGGGTCGCGGGGGCAGCAGTCTAAGCAGAGACACCCAGACTTCTCTATCCACACACACCTCCTCCAGCTCGTCTGGGGGGACCCCAAGGCGTTCCCAGGCCAGCTGAGAGACATAGTCTCTCCAGCGTGTCCTGGGTCTTCCCCGGGGCCTCCTCCCGGTGGGACGTGCCCGGAACACCTCCCCATCCTGAACAGATGCCCGAGCCACCTCAACTGGTTCCTCTTGACGTGAAGGAGCAGCGGCTCTACTCCGAGCTCCTCCCGTGTGACCGAGCTCCTCACCCTATCTCTAAGGGAGCGCCCAGCCACTCTGCGGAGGAAGCTCATTTCGACCGCTTGTATCCGCGATCTCATTCTTTCGGTCATTACCCAAAGCTCATGACCATAGGTGAGGGAGCTCTGACTGCAGACGCTGCTCCCTCATGACCATAGGTGAGGGAGGGAACGAAGATTGACCGGTAAATCGAGAGCTTTGCCTTTTGGCTCAGCTCCCTCTTTACCACAACGGTCCGATACAGCGACTGCATCACTGCGCACGCTGCACCGATCCGCCTGTCAAGTGAGGTGACGTTCCACGTCCCAACAGCCAGATGCTGTGTGTGTGGACTGGGTCGCCGAGGTCTAAGCCTTCGACTCCTGCCCAGTCCTCTCTGCGCCGTATTTTATCATCATCTTTATATTAAATAATAGATCCTGTTTATTGTGTACATAACCCCCAGTGCTCTTATTTATCCTTCTATTGAGCTGTAGTGTGCGCAACCTGCTTCTTTATTATACTAAGGTAAGAGATTTTATATTTGCTTCTTTAATATGCTAAATTTAGAGATTTTCCCCATTTCCCCACCGTGGGACCGATTAAGGACCATCTTAAACTACAACATAGAAATGTGTCTTAAATGTATGGCCAGTCTAAGATACCCGTGTCCTCCAGTGTCTGCGTCTCCTCTGCAGCCGTCTCTTTGGAGTTGGGGAACTTCTCGTCTGGGTGCGTTTTCTTGAAGTGCCGTTTGAGAGGCCCCACGCTGCTGCAGGAGTAGAAGCAGAGCGTGCACTGGAACGCCTGGTGCAGAGACGGAGCACAACATCCGGTGAGAATAACAGTTTGAACGTTTTTATTGAAATACTATCTTCAAGAATGACCCAAAGATGTAATTTTCTGTTTCATGATAAAGCAAATTGTTAATCCAATGGTTTTACAAATATTGTCCGATAGAATAGAAATGCATGACTTTTTGTCTGCGGGACCTTTAAGATCCAGGAGATGATTATATTTTCTGATTAATGCAATAATCTTTTTTTTTAAAGATTTTTAAGCAGTTGTTTTATGGTCTCCAGCTGATATTGCAGTAATGCAGTTTTACACAATGAATTCCTGTATTATCAATATATAGTTTGATTGGTCCTTACCATTTCGTTTTTGTTATGTTTGATGATTATTTTTTCGATAGACAAAGGGTTTTCTAGTGCATATCAAGACAATGCTAGCCAAAGCACTTTTGCGTTCAGGTAATAAACCCTTCAGGGTAGTTCCTTCAGTGTTATACGCTAAAAAAATACTTGTTGACAAAATTATATCTTGCTTTATGTCAATAAAGCATGTCTTTTTCTAAATCATCTTGTTTACTTTATTTGTGCATTTATATTTGACCATAAAATGTAATTTTATTGTTCGGAAAGTATGTTTTACATGGGGGGAAAAATTGCAACTTGCCATTGCAACTTTTGGGAAAAATGCCCTGCAAAATCAAGCCTTTTAGCTTGCAACAATCACAATAATTTCCCATAATAATCCTGTAGGGACTGAATAATAGTAATATTAGGCAAATGTGTAGCTTTAGCGAGAGATCCGAGAGATGTTTGTAACTGCGGGGATACGTCAGTGCGCACTGTTAAAATGAAAGATTTTTACCCACGCTTAATAGTGCAAAAAAATACAATAGTTGTAAATTAAAGCACATATATTTGAAATGAGAAAATATTGACAGATAATAAAGAGTAAATATGAAGTCTGACCTGGCGCCCTCTGGCGTGCTGCTCCATGTGTCGAGTGAGCGACGGTTTCAAAGCCGCAGAAAAGTCGCACTCCGAGCATTTGAACTGTTTACCTGTAACACACAAGGTTAAATGAACGAATACATGCACAACACACACACACACATATAACATAAATACACACAGAGACAAACAAACACACAGATTCACTGTCCTCCTGCTGCATGTATTCAGTGACACCTCAGACTTGAACTTTTTCCCACACGGGTCATACACACACACGTACGCACACACACACACACAGACAGACAGACGCACACACAGGCAGACACACACACCTTCAGTGGAGTGTCCTCTGCTGTGTGTCTTCAGAGAAACCTCAGACTTGAACTTTTTCCCACACAGGTCGCACAGATGCGTCTTCTCGCTCTGGTGTCGGTTCATGTGCAGACGCAGGTTGCTCTTCCTGACGCCCGCGTAGTCGCACATGTGGCACGCGTACGGCTTCACACCTGAACACACACACACACACACACACACACACCAATCAGTACAACAAGGAAATACTTTATATGTTTTAAAGCTTTCAAACTACTAATTTTACAACCATGTAATTCCTGGCTCTAAAACAGTTTCTTCTACTTCTAGTTTTCACGTCATGTATTTTAGGCCTATGTCACATCTTTAGATAAGCTTTTTCAGACTAAAAAGTGGAAAAATATAGGACCACTCTCACCTCTCAGCCCAAAGAGTCAAACAGTGACTCACAGGGCTCTCTCTTAGCCAAAGATGACATGTTTTCAAATAAGATCAAGACAGCATAAGACTCTTTCCATTTGGACAAACTGCATGTCTTGATAATGCTACAAAAATGTGGGTATAAATGTAGGTACCCCAGCTTTAATTTATTCCATTGCTTCCCCAAAATACTTTTCACCCATTCACTTTTCCATTCATGTTGCACTACAGTCTTTCTAAACATCTGTGTACGATGATAGAGTAGATTGTGCTGGACCTTCGTGAGCCCAGATGTGCTGCTGCAGGTCTTTGCTGTTCTTCAGGAAGTAGATGTCGCAGTAGGGGCACTTATCAGGCTGCTTCTCCATGCGCTCCTTTCCCTCCAGTGGGACGGTGCCTGGTGCAGAGGGCGTGAGTTTAACTTAAGTGTGTGAATCCAAAAGACTTGAAAGGAAGTTTGCAAACCCCAAATATAATGACAGTAGATGCCATAGAGGATAAATAAACCAATAAATCACATCCACCAAATGTTTTAATTATTATCATATCAAATCTATGTCATACTTTGTCTTTGTTATGCCTTTGAATAAAAACACATTAACATTAAATATATTATACTACAAATTCTAGTGCAAGAAATGTATAGTATGCATACATTTGTACATGCATGCACAATAAAATGTCTATCTTTATGTTTTTTAACACAGGAAGAAGGAAGTTGGGAAAATTGAGAAAAAATAATAAAAAGTACCTTACTATTCATATGCAAAAGTGAAAAAAGTAAGAAAAGAGTGTGGGAGACGTTACCAGGATGGAGCTTCCGGATGTGCTGCTTGAGCCGATGCTCCGGGTAGATGGTGTGACAAACTGGACACGGCACTGTTTTTGTCTAAAAAATATGAACATAGGTTAAATTCAATTCAATTAAATGTATTTGTGTATCTCCCTAGTTTGTTGATGCATTTTTGTAGCAAAAACTCCGGCCAGATCCACTTTTCCATGCGGCCCCTGGACCATTCCCAGTTGTTAACCTCATGCTGAATCAGGAGTCAATACATTATGAAGGCTTCTATTAATATGTGATACCATTCATTCTTTTCTCATTAAATAATCTAAAATATTCTTAGAATAATAATAGTAGTAATTTTCTCCCACTGGGTTTTTTAAGTTTTTCCTTGCCGATGCAGGAGGGTCTAAGGACAGTGGTAATGGTCCAGGACATTATCATCTGCTCCTTATCTAGATCAATGGCTCCAGGTGTTTTATCATTGCATTTCCTGAATTTGCAGTTTTATTCTCTGATCTGTTTTTAGTGAACTGACAGCTTTGTATAGTCCTCCGAGATTACTTCTATAGACTACTAGGGCTATTAAAAAATGTATTGAATTGAATTAATAAAAAAGCCAAGTAATGTGTATATATACATTTTATACTGAATTCTGAAGTCGTTTTTTTGCTAAATTAAATGGAAAATTTACCACATGAATCGGAGTCTGGCCCTCCTCACTAGGATGATACCCACCAAAGAAAATAGTTGCCCACCCCTGAGTGAAAGTCTCACCTCCTCGTGGAACCTCCTGACGTGCATCTGCAGCTTGTACTTGTCTGGAGTGGTGAAGCCGCAATCCGCAGTGGGACAGGGCAGCAGCAGGTCTCCATGTTTGTGCAGCAGGTGTCGGGTCAGAGAGCTTTTGGTGATGGCCGAGTAATCGCACTGGGAGCAGTACTGCAGGTGCTCCTTGGTGTGCGTGCGGACGTGGTTATTAAAATGCACTTTGTAAACAAACAGTTTCCCTGTGGAGTAGACAGACACTCGTATCACTGTAGATAGATGGCCAATGCTAACCCACTAGCTCAATGAACCCCAACAGAGGAGTGCTCTTGCCCTCTGGTCTCTCTCTGGTTTCTCTCTATCTCAGAGGAGATAGAACTCTTCCAAACTCACCACAGAACTCACACTCCAGCTCCCCGTACACTTTCCGCAGCTGGTGCAAAGTCTCGATGCTGAGCTGTGTTTTCTGGATGGAGGCGAGGACTTGGAGAAAGGCGTTTTCCACAGAGACCTCAGATTCCTTCACAAATATCACAGTGAATGAGGCGTTGAGATATTGGGATGACAGATATACAAAATGAACATTATCAATATCAATAAATTAACTGAGACAGATTTCCCAGTGTTCGGCCTCCATGTTCCTTGCTCCTGAATGCAACACTTCCACTGGCTACAAACATTCTCACGCTGTGAAGCCAATCAATGACAAAAGGGAGGCGGAACCTGTACGAACCCGTAGTTAGTTGTTGTATCGAGATATTTGGCAATACTATTGAAAAATTACATTTTGTTCATATGGTTCAGCTACTTTGAAGTAAAGTGAGGTGAAGTGTGGCCAAACATGCATGCGAAAGCCAGATCCCGTCAAATCTCTGAAGTTGTGCAGGGAAGGGCCTGGGGTTAGTACTTTGTTGGAAGACCTTTGGGAACACCAGGTGCCACAGTGGGGCGGGCGGCCGTTGTGTCTTTAGGCAAGACACTTCACCCACATTGCCTAGAATGAGTCTGGTGTGTGTGTGAATGGTTGGTGATGGTCGAAGGGGCTGCCTCGGTTCTGTCAGTGTGCCCCAAGTTTAGAGTGAATAAATAATGACATGTGAAGCGTCTTTGAGACTCCTGATAAGGCATTATTATTACTAAAAATATACATTTTTTAAAAGTATTTAATAACTAGGTATATTTACTTTCTCTAGTAAAAAATCACAATATATCACTTGAGTATTGGAATGAGAGATCATTAGGATTAGAAACACTTCCATCTAAAGGTGAAGTAAAGGTAAAGGTGCACTTTATTTATCCCCATAGGACAATTCATCCTCTGCATTTGACCCATCCTGATGGAGGATTTACCTATTGTGCATGTTTTTAGTGGTACGGGAAACCGGAGCACATGGAGGAAACCAGAGCACCCGGAGGAAACTTACGCAGGCACAGGGAGAACATGCAAACTCCACTCAGAAAGGCCCTAAACCTTCTTGTTGAGAAGCGGGAATGCTATCCACTCTGCCACCATGCTATCCACTCCGCCTTATCTAGTGGGAGAAGTTATAATTTCTCCTTTTGTTGTATCACAGTGGTATATTAAATGACAAAAATAATTCAAATCAAACTTTTGAAATAAAGTTTGAAAAAGGAGTTTTTAGACAGAAGGGGTGTGAGGACGTGTTTGTGAACATGTTCCAACATTGTTCCTCATCTTTGTTAGGTGCAGAGAGATTGATTTTTTTTGTCTGAATATCCATCTCTCTGCACACAACATATTTTGGAGTCTACATAAAAGCAATTCATGATCATTACATAATTAAAACAGTCTTTGCTTTTGTGATTAATAACTTCAGCCCTCATAGTGTTTGCGTACCGTGTTAGGCTGCTGGGTTTTGTCCTTGCCCGGTGAGAAGATCTGTGTGTTCGGTTCCTTTGAGACTTGACTTTCTTGTGTCTCGTCTGTGCCTGGAAGCTCTTCTGGCAGGTTTTCTGTTTTGCTTTGGTCACACACAGACAAGTTCATGCGTGTTGGTTTGACCCCCTCTAGATCAATTATGGCCCTTTCCTCTTGAACGTCGGCCATGTTCCCTTCGCTCACGATTCCAATTTCTTTCGTCTCTAGTTGAATGCTACCATCTTCTATCTCATGTGCAGATCTGTCATCATGGGGTCTTCCTATGTTGCTTTTGTTCGCAATCTCATCTTGTCTTGTCCTTTCATTGACTTTATAAATTATAGACGAAGCCTTAGTATTTGTCTCCAATACCTTTGCGGGATCTGGAATGTGGTCCATCTCTCGTTTGCTCATATCTCGTTGATCTTTGACGTTCTCTTGGTTTTCTGGCTCTTTGAAAGTCACTTCTTCATTCACGGCCATATCTTGTTGGACTTTTGCCATGTTACCCTCCCTCATGACCTTCACATTCACTGAATCATTCCTGGATCTTTCGTCTTTAAGATTTTCCTCATTGCCTTCATACGCAATCACATCTTGTTTCTTGAATGTCTTTTGGTCCTTTGCGTACCCTTCTTCTTGGATAGATTCAATCTTCCCTTCGCTCATGATCACATTTTGTCCCGTTGGCTCAATTTGGCCTCGATGTGACGAAGTCTTTAAAACCATTTCCAGATCTCGAACTTTTTCTATTATGTCGCTTGCTTTCTGGATTTTTGCAATGTTCCCTTTGTGTACAATTTCATCCCGCCTTGCCTTCTGATTGGCTTTCTCTTCATCATTCTGCGTTCTGTTTTCTAGGACGGTTTCTTGTTCACCTATCAAGCTTTCTTGATGAAGGTTTTCCGTGTTCCCTTTGGTCTCAATCTCATCTCGTCTCCTCTTCTGATTTGCTTTCTCTTGATCAGATAGTGGGATCTTTTCTCTCGCAGTTTCCAGTTGATTGATGGAAGTTTTCTCTTGAAGGTTGTCCATGCCCTGTCTTGTCTTCTCATTGTCTTTCTCTAGATCAGAATCCAATCTTACTTCTTGGATGGATCCTAGTTCACCAATGGATCTCTCGTCTTTTGTTTTTTCATATTGGTTTTCCTCCATCTCATCTCGTCTCTTCTTTTGATTGCCTCTCTCTAGATCATCTGCAGAACTTCCTTCTTCAATGCTTGCTATGCTTTCTTTGGTCATGTTTCCTTGGCTCACAATCTCCTCAGCTTTCTCTCGACCAGATTCCAATCTTTCTTCAAGGATGGAGGAGAGACCGCTGATGGATCTTTCCTCTTGAAGGTTTTCCATTCTCCCTTCGCTCACAATCTCATGGAATTTCTCTAGATCAGAAGCAGATCTTCCGTCTTGAATGTTTGCTAAACTTCCTTCGGTCACGACATCCTCTTGGCTCCTCGGCTGGTTGCCCCAGATGCCTCCTCCGGGCTGGATGAGTTGGAAGCTGCAGTCCACGCTCTGGGAGAAGGCTTGATCGAGGTCCAGTTCTGGATGAGACTGCGCAAGGTGGGCTTTAAGGCGGTGGCAGCTCACAAAGACGCCTCGACATGTGCTGCATAAGTAGAGGAAGAAGTGCTTGCGGACGTGCGCACTCAGGCCGCTCAGTTTGGAGGCGGCAAAGTCACAGAGCAGACAGCCGAACGGAGGCTGCGGCACGTGGACCAGCAGGTGGCGGTCTCGCTCCTGGCGGCTTTTGAAACATCTCTTACAAGTGAGGCAATGGAACAGGAGCTGCCGGAAGCCCTGACGCGTCCTCAACCTGAGAAACAAAACAACACTTATACACAGATGAGGCAGTCTTTGTTTTTAATCTAGAAAAAAAACTACTTTCACATCAAACATAAAAAACATGTTACCTCATGACATCACAAATGAGCTTATCCATTGAACGTTTCAGTGGCTTTTGCCTCAAGCCCAGATTAATATACGTACTGTATGTATAAGTGATATATAGTGGGGGACCACCAAAGAGCAGTAGAAGTGCCGAAACTTATTTATCAAATATGATAAAAATGAGAGAAAAAGTGTGGTAAGAATCTGACCTGAGCAGCTGGTAGACCTTCTCCACAGCTGGGTCCTTCAGGTCGTGCTTCCTCTCCATGTGTTTGAGGAGGCTCTTCACATCTGAGTATTTGGCCTTACAGAAACCACAGTGCTGCTTCACTTTCATATGAACGCGCTCCACATGGACCTGCAGCAGAAACAAGACAACACACGAGTCAAATACAAACGTACGGCTATGGAAATCTCATCTATCGTATATTACAGGATTAACTTGCACTAGAAACAGCAGCAAGTCCTGAGTAGCTCTGAAAGTTACTTTTTTTTCTAGCTGTACATTTGACTGAAGTACAGTGTTCTTCTGTGGTAGCGTCTGCCAAACACTGCGCTGCCGTGTGCTGGGCCCCGAGCAGCACAGAGCGGGACAGGAGTAGACTGAACAAGCTGGTCAGGAGGGCCAGCTCCACTCTGGGCTGCTCCCTGGACTCTGTGGAGGAGGTGAGGGACAGGAGGGTGCTAGTCAAAATCACCTCCATCATGGACAACACCTCCCACTGCACAGGACTGTAGAGGAGCTGAGGAGCTCCTTCAGTGGAAGACTGAGACACCCTCAGTGCAAGAAGGAGCACTACCGCAGGGCCTTTATCCCCACCGCTGTCAGACTGTACAATAAGTCACTTTAAGTCATTTGCACTAGGACTGAAAAACCTGCACTGCTATTGCCACTGTTTCTTTAATTGCCACTTTTTATTGTACATAATATATCCTCCACAAACTATATTTGTTTTAGCCTTTAGCATGTTTGCACAGTCTTTTGCACAAATCTGAGTGATTCTATCTGTGCCAAATGTGACATGTACATTTCTCCTGTGTGAGATCAATGAAGTCTTATCTCATCTTATCTTTACTTTACTTACTTATTGTTCGTGTCACATGAAATCTACATTGAAGCGATCTTGATTTTATATAATATCATTTGGTGCAAAAAACTAAATAAAGTCTAAGCAAAGAAATGGATTGTAGATGGCTCAGAGACGCACCATTTATTGTAGGCACTTACAGTGTTAAACTTTTTTTGTCCACATACTGGCGTTATAGAAATAAATCAACCATGTGTATAGTAATAGGCTGCAATGCCTCATTGCTTCATGTGGCATCATATTGCTTCGTGTTGCTTCATATTGCTTCACAATTGGTTTTGTTTGTCAAATGTAAAAAGGGCCCACAAATCTCCTGTTTTTCTCCTAGCCGTGGACATGTTCTTGTGGCATCCATCACTGATGGATACTTTATAATCTTACAATAGTAGTGTTGTGGTCAGTGTTAGCAGAAGCTTCTTTAACGAGTCCGGCCAGTCGATTGGTTGTTTTCTCATTTGCTAATTCTGATTGGATTTTGTCATTGCCTATTTCTTGTGTCGTCTTTTATATGTGGACTAAAATTTGGAATAATTTAGTTCGTCCCAATGAATAACTCCTGTTTTAGTTTTGGTTTTGTTTTCGGACCAGAAAACATATTCATGACAAAAAACATGACAATAATACTTTGTCTATGAAAATAACACTTGAGGAATGCTATGTTTTTTGAAAAATGCTAATGAAGCAATGAGAATTTCCCTCCATCTACATAACTCTGCAGACTGATCCAGTACCTTGAGGTGTCCGGAGCTGATGCAGTTGAAAGAGCAGTGCTCGCATTGGAACCGGTCTCCAGTGTGTTTCCTGATGTGGACATTGAGGTTTGCTGCAAATGTTAAACCAAGACACGTTTATAGTTCTGCATTATGATAAACAGACGCTCTGAGAGAAGAGAGAGTGTCACCCTTTATGGCCGAGGCGTAGTTGCAGTGGGGACACTTGAACGGCTTCTCCTGTGTGTGTGTTCGTAAGTGCGCCACCAGAGAATGTCTGAACTTGAATATCTTATTGCAGAACTCACAGGTGAAGACCTTCAGCTGATTCTGAAGAGAACTGTGGAGAATACATTCAAAAACACCTCATTTTTTTACTTTCACCTTTTACTGAATCCCCCCCGCAGTTCTTTCTTTGAATTTATTTGATGGCAAAGGAAGGTTTCTCACCCATCATCTGTACTTCTTAGCAAGTTTTCCCGACGTTTCGTCCTCAAACCAGCGGACTTCTTCAGGGAATGAATTCTCAGACCGCGCGTTGGAGATTTATAACCTATGGGTGTGGTTAGTCACACCCTAATCCTGATACTAACTCATAAACAATCTGTTTGATGTGGACCTGCTCCCTTCTACATCAAGCAGACCTTAGATTGTTAGATTGTGAGAAACCTTCCTTTGCTTTGACTAATCCCTGTACGACTGAGGGCTTACACACATTTATTTGATGTATCATATGATAAAACAGAAACAATAATACAGTAATAAAAAAAAAAAACTAAATTTGTAACTAAATTTAACATCACATACGACCCCCTCGTACTACCACCCCCACCTTCCCCCTCAATATGCCACAAACATTTTGTGTGCTCTTCATTCATACCCAGACAAACCCTCGGATTCAAAACCACGCACCCACTCCTTGTTTTATAACCTCAGTTCTATGTCCAGAGCCGTCGGAGATCAACATGAGCGATAATAACAGTTAACCAGGAGCAGCCGAGGGGGTGCCAGAAGAACCACTCCACTTTCTGACATACCTTTGCATTGTGTTCAAGTACCTGGCATCCCGCTGTTGGATGGAATATTCCAGAATGCCTTTGCCGACCTCTGCTGCTTTTCTACCGCTGTTCACAAGAAAGATGCCGTCAAAAATACCATATTTGGTCTGTGTTATTCAGAAGGAATGATTATAATGATTATAACTCACGTCAGAACGGCTCCAGGATCAGGGCAAACTTCACAGGTGGATTTCTCTTGTGGTGGACTCTGTAACAGATGAAAACATATTTCATTAGAGTTTTAAAGGAGACATCAATAAAATGCTCTGAAAAACATACATAAGAGAATACGTTGTGGTCTGGTTTGTTCAGATTTTACAAGACTCTCTATGTTAGACAAATTCATAGATGTTTGTAAGTATATTATAGTTATATAGACAAACGACATATGTTATTTATTAAAAAGTTATGTACCCCAGCTTTAAGGACAACGCAACAAGACCTTGAAGGACCGACATCTCAAGGTGAAAAATGGTTTTAAAGTCTCATTGAAGTAAGTTGTACATTCATATGATTAGAAGATTTTTCTCAAAACATTTATTTTGTTAAAAATGCAGAAAACAGCCCAGGACATGAGGTCATAGTCTGAGAATCTGACATTGTGTAACGAAAACAGCTGAGCATTTAGACAGAGAAAGAGCTCTGGTCTCTCTCGCTCTGGTCTCTCTCTCGCTCTGGTCTCTCTCGCTCTGGTCTCTCTCTCGCTCTGGTCTCTCTCTCGCTCTGGTCTCTCTCTCGCTCTGGTCTCTCTCTCGCTCTGGTCTCTCTCTCGCTCTGGTCTCTCTCTCTCTGGTCTCTCTCTCGCTCTGGTCTCTCTTGCTTTGGTCTGTCTCGCTCTGGTCTCTCTTGCTCTGGTCTCTCTCGCTCTGGTCACTCTCTCTGGTCTCTCTCTTGCTCTGGTCTCTCTAGCTCTGGTCTCTCTCGCTCTTGTCTCTCTCGCTCTTGTCTCTCTCGCTCTGGTCTCTCTCTCTAGGGTAGCAGAGGTTCCTGATATTAGCCTGGATGTATACTATTATCCTGTTTAGTTTAGCACTTTGAGTTACCTTGTGTATGATCTGTGCGATACAAATAAACTGGCCATGCCGATAGACACTGTACCTGTGGTGACTCCTGTGCATCTGCAGTCTCTCCTTCTGTGGGACTGTCCTCCTCCACTGGGACCAGTTTACTCACATCTGCAGGACAAAAGCACCAATAGGATTAAGAAGAGGTCCTATATTGCAGCAGCAGTTACAGGACGGGAAGAACGAGGAGCACACAACACAAGATAAACTTTATACTGAAATCAAATAACTTCTCTAACTTTAGCAGAGTAAAGAAGCAAGTCGAACATTTTAAGGTCAGTTATTATGTGTTATTGAGTCTAATAATTGAAGGGGGAAGTTATCGGTACTCTTTTTACGGTCACTAATTCCGGTTAGACTTTGGGGGTAAACTCAGCTTCCACTAAAGATCTCTATAATAAAATCCATGTCACTAGTTCCAGGCTCTAAAACAGTGGAGTTCTGTCAGTTTCCACATGTGCAGTGTCTTTTTCAGACTCTGCCAATGTTTTAATAAGGTAAAGATGTGCCGTTGTCTGATTTGTACACAATCATTTACACAAAGCAGCTTACAACTTCATTAACTAAAGTTGATGTGTTTTAAAACATCGACCGAAGCATATCTTTGGGAATACTGACTTTTTTTCAAAACAGAGCTTAGACTGCATCTTTTGTAAACGTCAACCGTTAAGAAGCGAGGCGGAGACAAAAGACGGTGGTCAACAGGCTCCAGGACCAATAGTATTTATAGATCATGCTTCGCGGGCGCCTTTCGTGGTCCTTGCAGAAAAAAATAATTTCGATTTTTTTTTTGTGATGAATGTTTCAGCCCTAAATCTAAAAGAAAGATTTCCGTACCCGACCAGTTCCCGTCCTCCGTCAGCAGCACTTTGATCACAGACTTCTTATTGGCCGTTGTGGATGTTTTGTCTGTTTGCGGACCGCCTCCTCTGTGGGCGGTTTTGGAGGCTCTGAACGGGCCTGGAACAAAGGAGACATACTGTTTAATACCTAATTTAATGTTACTCTGTAAGTCATAGAGTGCATTTAATATCACCTCCGTCTCCGTCGCCGTCCTCGTCGTCTTCCATCTTCAGACAGATGTGTTTGAGGATCTGACGTCGGTTTCTGAACGTGCGGCGACATTCTTTACAATCCAGCGTCTCCTCCTCCACATCTACAACATGAGGAACATTGGATTCTGCGTTGGAATTTACTTTGAAACATTTTGACGATAGGCTTCCACTATGCATGCTTTTATAGTTCATTTATTGAAGAAGAAAGCCTGGTCTTTCTCTGGTCTCGCTCGCTCTGGTCTCGCTTTCTCTGGTCTCGCTCGCTCTGGTCTCGCTCGCTCTGGTCTCGCTCTCTCTGGTCTCGCGCTCTCTGGTCTCGCGCTCTCTGGTCTCGCGCTCTGGTCTCGCTCTCTGGTCTCGCTCTCTGGTCTCGCTCTCTGGTCTCGCTCTCTGGTCTCGCTCTCTGGTCTCGCTCTCTGGTCTCGCTCTCTGGTCTCGCTCTCTGGTCTCGCTCTCTGGTCTCGCTCTCTGGTCTCGCTCTCTGGTCTCGCTCTCTGGTCTCGCTCTCTGGTCTCGCTCTCTGGTCTCGCTCTCTGGTCTCGCTCTCTGGTCTCGCTCTCTGGTCTCGCTCTCTGGTCTCGCTCTCTGGTCTCGCTCTCTGGTCTCGCTCTCTGGTCTCGCTCTCTGGTCTCGCTCTCTGGTCTCGCTCTCTTCGCTCTCTGGTCTCTCTGGTCTCGCTCTCTGGTCTCGCTCTCTGGTCTCGCTCTCTGGTCTCGCTCTCTGGTCTCGCTCTCTGGTCTCGCTCTCTGGTCTCGCTCTCTGGTCTCGCTCTCTGGTCTCGCTCTCTGGTCTCGCTCTCTGGTCTCGCTCTCTCTGGTCTCGCTCTCTCTGGTCTCGCTCTCTCTGGTCTCGCTCCTCTGGTCTCGCTCTCTGGTCTCGCTCTCTGGTCTCGCTCTCTGGTCTCGCTCTCTCTGGTCTCGCTCTCTGTCTCGCTCTCTTGGTCTCGCTCTCTCTGGTCTCGCTCTCTGGTCTCGCTCTCTGGTCTCGCTCTCTGGTCTCGCTCTCTGGTCTCGCTCTCTGGTCTCGCTCTCTGGTCTCGCTCTCTGGTCTCCTCTCTGGTCTCGGCTCTCTGGTCTCGCTCTCTGGTCTCGCTCTCTGGTCTCGCTCTCGTCTCGTCTCGCTCTCTGGTCTCGCTCTCTGGTCTCGCTCTCTGGTCTCGCTCTCTGGTCTCGCTCTCTGGTCTCGCTCTCTGGTCTCGCTCTCTGGTCTCGCTCTCTGGTCTCGCTCTCTGGTCTCGCTCTCTGGTCTCGCTCTCTGGTCTCGCTCTCTGGTCTCGCTCTCTGGTCTCGCTCTCTGGTCTCGCTCTCTGGTCTCGCTCTCTGGTCTCGCTCTCTGGTCTCGCTCTCTGGTCTCGCTCTCTGGTCTCGCTCTCTGGTCTCGCTCTCTGGTCTCGCTCTCTGGTCTCGCTCTCTGGTCTCGCTCTCTGGTCTCGCTCTCTGGTCTCGCTCTCTGGTCTCGCTCTCTGGTCTCGCTCTCTGGTCTCGCTCTCTGGTCTCGCTCTCTGGTCTCGCTCTCTGGTCTCGCTCTCTGGTCTCGCTCTCTCTGGTCTCGCTCTCTCTGGTCTCGCTCTCTCTGGTCTCGCTCTCTCTGGTCTCGCTCTCTCTGGTCTCGCTCTCTGGTCTCGCTCTCTGGTCTCTCTCTCTAGTCTCTCTCTGGTCTCTCTCTAGTCTCTCTCTAGTCTCTCTCTAGTCTCTCTCTAGTCTCTCCCTGGTCTCTCTCCCTGGTGTCTCTCTCCCTGGTGTCTCGCTCTCTGGTGTCTCGCTCTCTGGTGTCTCGCTCTCTGGTCTCGCTCTCTGGTCTCGCTCTCTGGTCTCGCTCTCTGGTCTCGCTCTCTGGTCTCGCTCTCTGGTCTCGCTCTCTGGTCTCGCTCTTTTCTCTCTGGTCTCTCTCTCTGGTCTCTCTCTCTGGTCTCTCTCTCTGGTCTCTCTCTCTGGTCTCTCTCTCTGGTCTTTCTCTCTGGTCTTTCTTTCTGGTCTCTCTTTCTGGTCTCTCTTTCTGGTCTCTCTCGCTGGTCTCTCTCTCTGGTCTCTCTCTCTGGTCTCTCTCTCGCTGGTCTCTCTCTCGCTGGTCTCTCGCTCTGGGCTCTCTCTCTGGTCTCTCTCTCGCTGGTCTCTCTCTCGCTGGTCTCTCTCTCTGGGCTCTCTCTCTGGTCTCTCTCTCGCTGGTCTCTCTCTCTTCAGCAGTCATGAGTGCAGGTGGTTAGAAAAGTGTATAAAGTGTGAGGGGTTTTACACTGGTTATTTTTAGATTGTATCCCTTCAACAAACGGTATCAAATTCAAATGAAATACATTTTTTTCTAGCACATCACTGTTGAAATGTGTTCACAAAGAGGCTCATTTAGGCTCATTTAGGCTCAAGACAATATTTTCTGTGTGTGTTTAGTGCCGTCGTTCCAATGTGCTGTTGTGTGTGATCGTATAAAACCAGGGCCGACCTCGCTCTGCTCTCCTCTCTCCAGCTTCCATATGTGTGACACTCGCCGCATCTGGTTTGTGTCTCTTATTGGTGGAACCTTTGGGCCGTCCACGCCGTCGTTTGGACTCTGAAAGGGGAAAAGAATCAATAGTTCTTCTTTAAAGCTGGAGTACGTAACTTTCAAATTCAAACCACAGCAATAGAACTCTGCCAAAAAAATTCATTTATGGCTCTAAAACAGTTTTCACACGTAAGTAGAGAAAGACTAGAGAGAGACCAGAGGGAGACCAGAGGGAGACCAGAGGGAGACCAGAGAGAGACCAGAGAGAGACCAGGGAGAGACCAGGGAGAGACCAGGGAGAGACCAGAGAGAGACCAGAGGGAGACCAGAGGGAGACCAGAGAGAGACCAGAAAGAGACCAGGGAGAGACCAGAGAGAGACCAGAGAGAGACTAGGGAATGACCATAGGGAGATCAGAGAAAGAAACCAGAGAGAGACCAGAGAGCGACCAGAGAGAGACCAGAGAGAGGCCAGACAGAGACTAAGGAAAGACTATAGGGAGAACAGAGAGAGACCAGAGAGAGACAAAGGAAAGACTATAGGGAGACCAGAGAGACCATAGGGAGACCAGAGAGAGACTAAGGAAAGACTATAGCGAGACCAGAGAAAGAGACCAGAGAAATACAAAAGAGAGACTAGCAAAAGACCATAGAGAGAAAAAAAAAGTTAAGACTTGTCTAGCTAGCAACGACCTAGCAACCAAAAAGCCAATCAGGTCAGGAGCTAAAGCTGAATTCAGGGACAGAAGGCTTCTGATTGGTCAGTTGTAGAGATTTATAAAGACAATATCAATATGTGAACACCAGAATTATACATAGCATTAAATAAGCTTTTCATTGTAAAATCTACAGATGGAAATTATCCCTTATGTCTGAATCCACCATATTTACATGGACACATGTTGATTTATGTGCACGGTCCCATTCAAATAAACAATACATCTTTAACAGGAGACCTCCAATATTAGACTTCATAGAGCATGTTGGCACTGTCCATCTATATACAGTCTGTGGCACTGACCGTTGATCTTGTCTTCAGGCCCTGGCTGCTGTGGTTCCCCTGGTTCCAGAGGCTGCAAAGCGATGATAAAGTCTTCATTCTCCGGCTGCTGGTGAAGCTCGGAGCAGTGGGTCTCCAGCTGAGAGCGACTGGGGGAGAACAGGTTACACACACGACACATGAATACGGCACCTGGGGAAAGAAAAAACAGCTCAGAACAACAACTGCATCCAGGAGACAGCTCTGTGCACAGAAAACATCTCAAAAGTCACTCTGAGAGACTCAAATAAGACTTTAGGTGCAACGTGTGCCTCTAGTCTCTCTCTGGTCCCTCTAGTCTCTCTCTGGTCCCTCTAGTCTCTCTCTCTGGTCCCTCTAGTCTCTCTCTCTGGTCCCTCTAGTCTCTCTCTGGTCTCTCTAGTCTCTCTCTGGTCTCTCTAGTCTCTCTCTGGTCTCTCTAGTCTCTCTCTGGTCCCTCTAGTCTCTCTCTGGTCCCTCTAGTCTCTCTCTCTGGTCCCTCTAGTCTCTCTCTCTGGTCCCTCTAGTCTCTCTCTGGTCCCTCTAGTCTCTCTCTGGTCCCTCTAGTCTCTCTCTCTGGTCCCTCTAGTCTCTCTCTCTGGTCCCTCTAGTCTCTCTCTCTGGTCCCTCTAGTCTCTCTCTCTGGTCCCTCTAGTCTCTCTCTGGTCCCTCTCTTTCTCTGACACCAGAAGGTTGCATCATGCATCATGCCTCTTCCTAAATTTACCTGAACTTTTGAACTGACTGAATCTACTCTATCCTGAATGGGAGGGTTTCCACCTGCCCTGTTTAACCAGGTACTATTTAGAGCCTGCTTGGCTCAAGTGTTTCATTTTTTTAATTGTTTGTTTGTTTGGGAGTGCTAATGAACACATCACTCGGATTCGTCCCACAGTCGCACTCACAACCACACACTCATTCACCCTGAACTACTGAAAGAGTGCAACACGACACCACTGTTGCTGAAAAATGTTGTATTTATAGACAGATTGATATAGAGCTAACATCAATCAAAACAATCAGAGCAAAGACACACCATGACATAGAATGTGATTTGAGGGAGTTGAGATGTCACCTGAACAAAAGCGCATCATTCAGTTAATTTTGGTCATACGCCACAGTAAATCTGAACACTATCAATTTGATACTTATAATAAAAATAAAAATGGCTGGAAGATGTCAAAGTTCTTGCAGACCTAACACCGAGGCCTCAGTGTTCTAATAGTGGTCTTGCTTCATCACTAAAGTCAGCAAATCTGGTTTGTCAAATGTAAATTGTTCCATATCAAATAATTATTATAAATAGAATACATATTATTGATTTGACATTGTTGATCATTTTATAGATGTATGCATTTTTCATGCACTAAACTCAAAAAGGTTTAATGTAAACACAGGACAATAAATAAGTACCCATCTTCACATTAATAAGAACCATAGGAGTCGCTGCATGACGCTTTGGGCTCTAGGTTGTACTTGTGTCAAACCACCACTCAGGTGCACACTAATGATTAGATAGGAACACTCAAAATGCACTTAAGGATCCACAGACTTGACTAACTTTGGGTACCCAAGTGAAAAGTGGAGTTAAACTTCTGAACGAACGCGGGACTCGTTTAGCCTGCGGTTTGTTATGATCGTGGACAGTCTGGCTCTGAGGCCGCGATGAACATATTCGACCTTATTCGCTCCAGTCCTCACCTTTCGCTCGCTCATCCATAGTCTTCAGTCAGAAAAAATCCACACACAGACTGTGTTTAAATCCCCGCATGGCTTCTGGTAAATGTTTACTGTTTTATTTCTCTTTAACCAAATAGAAGTGTCGAATCTGCGGCGTTGTCACACACACAAGAGGCTCGCGGAAGTGCTACGGGAAGCGCTGCTGTGGCTGTTGTGAGCGCCCCCCAGCGACACACACAGGGAAGGCAGGAGGAAAGAATTACATACAGAACTACAAGATAATTGAAAATATATTAAAATAATGAAATGAGAAGACATGCTAAACAGATGGATAAATAACAACACACCCCTACACACGCTAAAATATGAACACCCACACACATATATCCATATATCACATATATGATTTTTTTCTTTTTTATATATATATATAAACAGACACACAGAACAGACCGTGGAGGGCAAAAGGTGTGTGTGTTTGTATAAATCATTAAAATCAATTAAATACAAACTTCTTTTTTTGTATTTTATAACCCCTCACCCCCGAGCTGCCTCAGTCCTGCACCGCGTGGCATGTAGAGAGTAGAGTTGTTCTTCAGCCTGAGCTCTGCATCTACAGCCTCACTCCTGGATCTACAGTACAATCTCAGTCCTCATCCCGTCTCTCTGTGGGAGCAGATCCTCCCTCAATGTGGGACTCCCTGAGGTTTTTCACTTTTTTTCCCACTGTTTTTTGTGTTGTTGTTCGATGCACGAGGGTCTAAGGAGAGTGATGATCCAGGGCATTAAACGAAATTCATGGATATCTATGAATATTGGTTATCTGTTCCTTTTGGACAAATGGCTCTATGGGTTTTTATCATTGCATGTCCTGTGTCGGAACTGTTTGATTCTCTGGTCTGGGTTGGCGAACTTTGTAAAGTCCTCCAAGACTCGTGTTGAGTGGTTGTGTCCTCCACCAATGGATCTATTGCCTCCATCTCATCTTGTAGGTCTTTCCCCAAAGCTCATGACCAGGGGTAAGGGTGGGGACGTCCAAAGCTCTGACTGCAGATGCTGCTCCCTCTTCCCCACAACGGTCCAAACACATCAATCTCACTCTCTTTGTAATTGTTTTTGCTGTAGTCCTTCTCCAGTGACTTTATAGCTCATTGTTCTTATAAAAACACTGTGTCTGTACAAGAAAAAAAACTCATGCTGTGGGATTTAATAATTTTATTTAAAAAGTAGCGAGTGCATTTTAGTTATAAACTTGATCTAACTCTATACAACACACATCACATTCTCAAGTGTTTAACTCCTGAGGAATAAATCTCTACACGCTGAGTCCAATGTCTTATCGTTAGCATGAGGTCACCGGAGATGTGTGAAAATGACAAAAGCCAAAGTGCACGCGTCCAATAGAGAACGGACTTGTTCGCCTTCATGCAAGTTACACAAGAATAAAACAATAGAAACAATAGTACGATCAAAAAGTTAAAGTGATGCAGGGCAAAAGCATATGGTGTACATTCAAATTGGCCATAAACATGAAAATCTTAATTAAAACGGCTCAAATTCAGGGTTTTGTTCCTCTGTCTTTGCTAAAGTTTCCGACACCTATGGCTTCAAATGGATCGAAACATATGCAGTAAGATGCGTTCATGTGACATCATTGTGGTGGAGGCAAAGTATGTTAACTGTCTTTGTTTACATCTAATTTCTCTGTACCGTAAATTCCATACTTTAAACTGCTACTTTTTTCACCATCTTTGAACCCTGCGGCTTATGTCGCGATGCGGCTAATACAGTATGTGTTTTTTTTTTATTGTGGTAGAGCTGTCAGAGGAGAGTTTATGGACTTATTATTTTGACACCATCTATAGGTGCATGACCAGCTATAGGTCAAAATAGATGAAGGTGAATGAGTCATGGAAGCTAACAGTCATGGAAGCTAAAGCCTAGCGTACATCGACAGAGTAACTGGAGATAACAAGTTTCAAGGCGGCTTTTGGCAACTGAGAGTAGATGATGGAGATGATCAGTTGCCGAAATCGGTCGATGTGAGCGCTCTTACAAATGGAGATAAACAGTCGATCTCTGGGTTCAGTCAGTTGTTCTACTTTTTGGCAACTAGTTGTCCTCAGATCCGGAGATATGACCCGATGTGCGCGCTCCAACATGTGTGTATTGCAGGGGTATCCAACCTGTGACTCGGGAGCTACCAGTAGCTCGCCAGCCTCTTTCAGGTAGCTCGCCAAAGGATTTACAATTTAACAAATGATCTTCAATGGATACATTTGGAGTCATTACATATCTATTATATGTAAAAAAAAAAAACAGGCTTATACAGTAATAACAGTATATTTTGTCCTCCATTGTTGCTATTATTACTTACTATAAGTAGCTCTCTGCCTCTCCTGTTGTATGAAAGTAGCTCTCCGATTGGAAAAGGTTGGAGACCCCTGGTGTATTGTGTGTATTGCGCCCTCTACAGTTTATGTCAGAAAACACACTGTAGTTGAGGCCAGTTGCTGTCGATGTACGCGCTGTTATTCCCGAGACTGGCCTGCTACAGGAGTTGCCCGTTTTCGTCAGATTGTCGATGTGTGCGGGGCAGGAACTCATATGCGACGGATATAATCAGTTGCCAGTCCGATGTACGCTAGGCTTTACACCTCCTCAATAAATCATGTTGTGTCCAGTTAAAAACAGTCGTCTCTCCGCTACATTAAACATGAACGTTTTTTCGTGTTTTCGAATATACACGTGGGCGGCACGGTGGCTGAGTGGATAGCACTCTCGCCTCTCAGCAAGAAGGTCCTGGGTTCGAATCCCGGTCGGACCAGGGCCTTTCTGAGTGAAGTTTGCATGTTCTCCCCGTGTCTGCGTAGGTTTCCTCCGGGTACTCCGGTTTCCCCTACCACTAAAAATATGTACAATTGGTCTGGCATGCGCCTCCTGTACTGGCGACCCCGCTCCCATCTGTGTGGAGTGAGAGACAAATGCCCATAATTAACAATTGTAAACCGCTTTGAGACTCAGATCTGCAGTGAAAAGGCGGTATATAAATAAAAACTTACTTACTTACACATGTGTTCCTTACAGTACAGAAAGTGCGGTAATTTCAGGAACAATCCACATGAATCAAAAACTGTCACAAAGTTCCACCTCTTCTTTGTCTGCACGATTCCACTATGGTCTCATTACTTTCTCATAAATGTGTCTAAAAGTGGTGACAATATTCAAAAGCATATGCATGATGTTGGCCAAGCAGCAAGGACTTTGAGACATGAGAATAATATGGCAACTTGAATCTAATCACTATCAATGAATGATTTGTTAAAACATTTTCTTTTTTCAATTTCTCCTCCAAAAATGGCTTCTCTCACACAGACTTGTATCGACACCGGCTGAAATACAATTCTGCAAGCCCCCATTCCTCCATATTCAGTCTTGTCGTATCGCTCTGCTCTCAGCCCCTTTGCACAATGTCACTGATCAGACCACACATCAAGTTAGCAATCAGTGGAGTTTTTATGTATAAATAATAGCATGAACTCAAGTCATTTTCATTTGATATCTCCATGCATCTTTTTTTCTTTAAAAAAATACAAATAATTTACAGCAGATGTTTTCATGTGTTCGTAAAGAACTGATATGTAAACGTGAAGACAACACCCGAGTTTCTATTGTAGTGCTTCCCAAAGTAAGTAAGTAAGCTTTTATTTATATACCGCCTTTTCACTGCACATCAGAGTCTCAAAGCGGTTTACAATTGTTGGGTGGGGGTGCCAGTACAGGAGGCACATGCCAGACCTATTGTACATAATTTTAGTGGTAGGGGAAACCGGAGCACCCAGAGGAAACCTACGCAGACACGGGGAGAACATGCAAACTCCACTCAGAAAGGCCCTGGTCCAACCGGGATTCGAACCCAGGACCTTCTTGCTGAGAGGCGAGAGTGCTATCCACTCAGCCACCGTGCCGCCTAGTGCGGTCAGGGGCCCCATTCAAGTCCATGATACACATATGGTTATGATTACCTCAGCTCCAGGGGTCTCCAACGTTTTTCCCACAAAGAGCTACAGTACACCTTTTCAGTTTGTGGGAATGGAGGGACATTACTCGAGTACAAGCGCTGGTTTGCCCCACCCCCACACCTTCCTGATTGGACGCAATGAATTTGACTCCTTGAAAGACAGCTGTGGCCCCTCCCCAACTGCGTAAATCCTTAGGGAGCTGCTTGTAAAATCTAAATCTCCAAAGAATTTAGATTTTACCTAAATATTCTCAATATTAAACATTATTAGCATAACAACAAATAACCCTAACGCTAACGCTAAAACTGTAATAAAGCCATCCAAGGCTTGCTCTCAACAGTTAATGGACTTCCCGAGACGCTTAAAGAAGAAGCTCTGTCTCATTCTGGGTGAAAAAGGTTGGAGACCCCTGCCATAGATTGTATATTAGAAGTGGACTGACCAAGTGCTTGATGCAGAAGAAGCCGATTCTCGAACAGGCTATTTGTGCGGGAATGTGGAGCCAAAATCATGCAAATTTTGTTGGCAGCGACGGTCAAGTTACCAAGCAGCACTAACCAGGAAGTCAGTCTGTCCTCTCGCACTACTCGCTTTACAAAGAGAAATATCACAATAAAAACACCAGGATCATAGAGAGCGCTAAACCACGGATTTTTTAACCCAAAATCTTGAGTATGACACAGACGGTTACTGAGCTAGAGGGGTTTGCTTTTCATTGTAAGCTAGCGGGTTAGCATTGTCCATTGTCCATCTATATACAGTCTATGGTACAGAACAAGTTTGTTGGATTTCAATAACGATTCCTTTCTTTCACAGTTCTAAAATGTGGTATTCAAGCTTTAAATATTTACCATTATTCGCTGTTATCGGGATCTAGCTAAATCACATTGTATTACTGTCTCCATCCTGTATGTTACATCTATACACGTTCATACAACCAAATGAGAGCCGTGACAATCTACAATTATTTGGTTAAAAATACGACATAATTACAACTTCTTTCAGTTGAAAAAATTATAGCTGAGGTACCCAACTTTCAAAACACACAAAAAATGAAGCCATATTAAACTTATAACTTGACGATCGCTCTTAAATCAGTTTGCTTCTGTCACTAGTTTTCACATGCATGTATGTTTGGCCTGGTCACATTTTTAGATCAGCTTTATCAGACAGAAAAGCGAACAAGAGAGAACCACCGTCACTCAGCCAATCAACTCTCAGCCCAAAGAGTCGAAAAGTGACCCCCAGCAGGGTTCTTTCTTACACCAAACATGTGTGTAACATCTTCTTCCGATCGTAGCGGGGCCCAGTGTTGAAGTCTTTGTAAACGTCTGGTGTGAGTCCCTCTGTCTGATAAGTTGTGTTGTCTTTGTCACGTCCACAAAGCAGAGACACACAACAGGAGCTCAGGGTTGTGTTGTTGTTGTTGTTGTTGTTGTTGTGGCCTTAACGGAGGCTCGTCCGATTGTCTGAAAGCAGGTTGTCACATGAGGCTGCACTTGTTCTTCTGCGAGTGCGAGTCTTTGAACCTCAGTCTGTGTTTGGACCTGTACTTCTCCAGATACGTGAGCTGTTTGCTGTTGATGGCTCCTCTGCGCTTCCTGTGAACACAACACAACGTTACGAAAGAAACAGGACTGTTCAAAGCAAACTCCCATTCGTTCATCAGAGATCCACCACGGAGGAAGTTTCAACAGAGACTCCCACCCACCACTGTGGGCGTGGCCACCTGGGAAAGGTTTTTTTATTTTATTTTTTATTTGAGCAGACAAGTACTGCTCAAAAGGAGTGGGCCGAAGCAAAAGCTTATTGGTGCCCACCCCCAAAACACTACATGAAAATATACACACTTTACATAGAACAGCAACTATGCAAATGTAAAAAAATAAACAAGAAAGAACAGACGATAACAGCAATATTAACGACAAATAATGGCAACTGTTTAAAGCAACATCACTCTTCAAGGTCAATAAAGATCATAATGACTATAATAAGCAACAAAACGAAGTTGATAAAATAGAAATAAAAAAACAAAACAAAACAAAACCAAACACCAATTTATTTTAGCCCGATTGCGCCCCCTAGTGACATATAATTTCCTCCTCTTTATATTTATCGAAAGTCTTTTGTTTGTATTTAAATTTGAACACATTAATGTTTGGACTATGTTTCATCTCCCGCTCCAAATTATTCCACAGTTGAACCCCAAGGTTGTCGTGTTGTTTGGGCCCGTGTTGCTTTTAACCATGAGGGGGAGTGTGTCAAACATGGGCAAACTTCTTCAGAGGGCCACATTGGAAAACCAGCCTGCTGTTGGGGGCCAAACCGAATTTCAGGTCTTTGTTCTCAGGCTCACTTTCCTACACGTTAATATATTATGATAAATATTATATTTTATTGGAGCAAAGCGAAGAGAGCGACTGCAGCTTCAGAGCTCTGCACAAAGCACAGAAGGTTTTAAAGTCTTTATACCACTGTATATAAACTTGGACACAACATTTTAATGCATTTCCTGCGTTTGAAATGTTTGATTCTCTGATGGCAGATTGAAAACTGTGAAAAGTCCTGAGTTGTGATTTGGGGCGAAACAAAAATAAATTGAATTGGATTGGACTGATAGAGACAGGGCCCGGGGTTTGTCCACCACTGCATCGGTAAAGAAAAACAGAACAAAATAAACAAGTGAGAAACCTTTGGGGCGCCCACATTGAGAGAGGGGTCCATTCTCCAACATTTCAGTGGAACAAACAACATATTTCAGCTTTTTATATATATTTTCAACTCATATTTAACATTGAATAATTCCCTGCTTAGATCAAAGGCCTGTTGTGATAGAAAACCAGGAAACTCTTTTGAAACTTGTTCTGTGTTTTCCCCCAGAAGGACCTTGTAAACGCGCATGCCAAAACATTCCAGCACTGAGAACGTGACAAAAGAATAAAAGGTGACATGGTTTTCATCACTGTGCTGAAATTAGGGACACTGCAAAAACTGACAAACGTAGCTCTAACTTTGCTCAAAGCCGGAGTACCTAACTCTGAAACCACAAATAAAAAACTTCATTCTTCGCTCTCAAAAAAGTTGGCTTCTCTCACTGAAGGCATTTTTGTCTTCTGTCACATCTGGTCACAAACACACTCTCAGCCAATCAGCTCTAAGTTTGTAAAATATCTAATGTTTTGTAATGAGATAAGCCTGTTGTGGTATTTCTCTGTTTACTTAAATAAAACTTTTTGGTAACAGAGCGACAAGTAGCTTTTTGGGCGACAGTAGCTCAGTTGGTAGAGCATTGCCCTTAAGCCCAGAAGGTCGTGGGTTCAATTCCCACCTCTGCACCTTCTCCACCGACTCCCACTGATGACTGCTGTCGTTGTGTCCTTGGGCAAGACACTTAACCCCACTTTGCCCAAAGCCCCCACTGAAAGATCAAGGCTATGCTCACACTCAGAGAGCAGCCGTCCTCCTGTGGACTCACCACCTGCAGAGGGTCAGTGAGGGGCTGGTGCTATGAGACTTGGGTGGCATCTCTGACTGCCACCCCCCTGACCCAGAAATGGATTAAAGGGTAGAAAATGGATGGATGGATGGTAACAGAGATTAGCCTACACTAAATAATGCGTTTTTCTCTGGGAAAAAACATCATGTATTTATCCAACTAAAGAAAGTTTGGTACTCCAGCTTTATTTACGTTAAAACTATCCTTATTTTTGTTTCAAGTTTTGCCAAATGGACAAATAAAACTGTTGGAATGAGCAATATAGTTTTTGTTTCAACCTTTCAAGTGTCACTGCGTCATCAGTGTGTGCAGTGTGTCCCAGCTTTAATGTGATTGTGAAAAAGTTTAAATGATAAAAAGTAAAAAACTACCTTACTATTTCCACTAGGGGGCGTATGCGGCATGTTTGCTTACTGTCTGATGAGCTGAATGGCGTCTTCATACTTCATCCCGCTCTCGATCAAAGCCAAAGCCACGAGGACTGGAGCTCTGAGCACAAACACACAATATTCAGATAACACACACACACCAACACACGCACGCACACACACACACGAGTAATTGAAATACATTATTCTGAGATAGATGCATGAGACAAAGACACAAGAAGTAAAGGTGCTTTCACAGCGCCAATGCTGGAATGCTGAAGTCTCGCGCACCAGACGCACATTCACACAGGGGTCTTCACACAGAAGTCCTGGGCTGCGGTGGCGCCCGCCCGAAGTGGCGGATGTAGCGGGCAGGCTTTGATGCTAACGGAGTTAAGCTAGCGGCTTTTTGTGTAACGTTCTTCTCCAATAATGCAGCTCTGCAGCGTCTCTGTGTCCAGAGTCCTTCCAGAGACTTTATATAACAGCAGAATGTGTTCACGGAGGTGCGCCATACATTTATGTTATTATTAAACAGTAAGGCGGGACTTACCCGTAATATTAGAATTCATAAAATGACTTATTTTATATATACATTTAGGGCCAGAAGGTCAATTTAATACGATTCTTAAAATGTGTAATTCATTTAGAGTTCCAGACTATCATTTTAACCCGTGCGGAGGGGTTAACTCCTTTTGCAGATTCAAACGATTGGATCTGAGTTTACAGTGACGTACGGAGTGAGTGAGGCATTTAGCATTCAGCCTAGCTATAGCATTTAGCCTAGCCATCTCTTTTGCCACAAACCAGAAAACTCTGCGCTAACTCTTGACTTCGCCGACTCCTACCTACATCACCCGCCTCCCGCGCCCGCTGAATGATTGGAGGGGATTCAATCGAGACAACGGCAGCCTCTAAGATCAGACCCAGACGTACATGTAGGAAATGATAATTGACCGGAGATTACGGAGGGCTAAAGCCAAGCTACCGTGGCCGAAATGTAGATCAAATCTGAAATGTGCTAATATGCATCTGTCCAAGAGATTGTGGCCCTTCTAAAAGTCCGGGCCTTGCTCGGCAGCATGGTGGCTGAGTGGTTAGCATTTGCACTAGCATCCTGGGTTCAATTAAACCTCCAGGCAGGGCCTTTCTGTGTTGAGTTTGCATGTTCTTCCTGTGTAGGTTTCATCTGGAAACTAAACGTTATTTGTACTTTCTGTTGATTCCCTGCCCTCTCCGTTACGTCATTGCATTTTATTAAATCCAGTATTTTCTTTTCTTCTTGAAATTAATAAATCAAAGTTAAACAGCTCTGTTCCATGGTACACTGCGTGGAACAATAATACTGCATCACACTTTAGTTCAGCTCTCACTAATCAACAGCTAATTAGTATGTAATTTATTGTTAATTTGCTCTCAATTGGTATGTATTAAGCTCTTATTAGTTCTTATTCAACATCTTTCTAACTACTAACTGACACTTTCCCATGAGTCTTAGGGTTAGGGTGCACTAATTATCACTTAATTAACAGTTTATGAGTGAGGGCTAATCTAAAGTGTGACCCAATATTGTACATCAATCACAAAGTATTGTATTATGTAGTCAAACATTGCACTAGCCATAATTATAGTTACACAAAGATTAAATCTGTTTAAAATCTGTATTATTATATTCTGAGTCTGGGTCTGTACCGTCCCAGGCCGGCCACACAGTGCACAGCCACACAGCTCCCAGGGTCGTCCTGGAACTTCTTCTTCAGGAGGCTCAGCCAATCATCAACCAGCTTACAGGGAGGCGGAGCTCCGTCATCAAAGGGCCAGTCCTGAGAACACACACACAGGAATCAGAGAACCTCCCGACGGTCCGCCTGCAGTGAGTCTTGTCCAAACTCAGGCCCGTGGGCTAAATGTGGCCCGTTATGAGATTCTGCCACTAACTCAAAGTGACATTCACAGCGTCATCCAGTCAACTTCAGCTCCACCAATAAAGTCACGCTGTACCTTGTTGTAAAGATCAGACTCTTTGTAATCCAATAGTTGTTTATACTGACATTTGTTTTCGATTGTGTCACAAAATTCAATAATTGGCGCCATTGTAGTTGTGGTGTGAATCAATGTGGACATTAAACTTCCAGGATCCAGCCAAAACTATTTTAAAGTCTGGTTGTTGTTGCATAGTTCACTGTGACAAGTCTGAAAAAGTTTGGACACCCCTGGCGTATAGTGAGATCCTTCAGCTTACCACCACCGTGATGCCCTCGCTCTCCAGAGGGGTTTTGTCGTAGGTGCTGTCACAGACTCTCACAACGGTGGTGGCTCCAAACCGCTTCAGGTCCTGAGAAGAAGTTTGTATTTTAAAGGTCCCATATTTTACGCTTTTTTACTTTTCTCTGCTTTAATAAACATCATTACAGTGTTGTTTGTCCAAAGTCGTTTTTGAAAATGTATTCCCTCAAGCTTTAGTTAGAGAGCAATCTTTCTCTTTTTATAATCGAGAGGCAGCAAGACATGTGACGTGGCCCGCCTCCAGGAGGTGATTGACAGGTGAGAAATCCAAACAGCAAATCAGCGTGCACAGCCTCACTCCCACAGTCTGTGTTACCTTCACATCGAGCCCTATTTTGTTCTGATTTTGTCGCAGACTAAAAGTGTAAGCATCATGTGACTTGGAGAAAATTAGTTTTTAGTGTAAATATGTGACGACACTATTTGGCCCAAAGGAAGAATGAGGAGAATGTGGCTGGACTTTTGTTTGGATTGAGGGCTGTAAAAATTGAATTGAATGTATTGTACTTTATCCGTGGTGGCGAGGTGCAGAGAGGACTGGGCAGCAGTCGAAGGCGGAGACCTCGACGACCCAGTCCACACACCCAACATCTGGCTCTTGGGACGTGGAACGTCACCTCACTGGGGGGGAAGGAGCCCGAGCTTGTGGGGGAGGTTGAGCGATACCGACTAGAGATAGTCGGCCTCACCTCCACACACAGCTTGGGCTCTGGAACCCAACTCCTTGAGAGGGGTTGGACGCTCCACTTTTCTGGTGTTTCCCGCGGGGAGAGGCGGCGAGCTGGGGTGGCCATACTCATTGCCCCCCATCTCAGCCGCCACGTGTTGGAGTTCTCCCCGGTGAATGAGAGGGTCGCGTCCCTCCGCCTCCGGGTGGGGGACAAGTCTCTCACTGTTGTGACGGCCTACGGGCCTAACGGTAGTGCAGAGTACCCGGCCTTCTTGGAGTCCTTGGGAGGGGTACTGGACAGTGCACCGCCCGGGGACTCCGTTATTCTCCTGGGGGACTTCAACGCCCATGTGGGAAATGCCAGTGACACTTGGAGAGGGGTGATCGGGAAGAGCGGCCCCCCTGATCTGAACCCGAGCGGTGTTCAGTTGTTGGACTTCTGTGCCTGTCCATCACGAACACCATGTTCGAGCACAAGGGTGTCCATCAGTGCACGTGGCACCAGGACACCCTAGGCCGGAGGTCGATGATCGACTTTGTAGTCGTATCATCTGACCTTCGACCGCGTGTCTCGGACACTCGGGTGAAGAGAGGGGCGGAGCTGTCAACCGATCATCACCTGGTCGTGAGTTGGATCCGCTGGCAGGGCAGGAGGCCGGTCAGACCTGGCAGGCCCAAGCGTGTAGTGAGGGTTTGCTGGGAACGTCTCGCTGAGCCCCCTGTCAGACGGACTTTCAACTCACACCTCCGGGAGAGAGCTTCTCCCAGGTCCCGGCAGAGGAGGGGGACATCGAGTCCGAGTGGACCATGTTCTCTTCCTCTATCGCCAATGCGGCGGCTCGTAGCTGTGGTCGCAAGGTCTCTGGTGCTGGTCCCGGCGGCAATCCCCGAACCCGGTGGTGGACACCGGCAGTAAGGGATGCCGTCAGGCTGAAGAAGGAGTCCTATCGAGCAATGATGGTTCGTGGGACTCCTGAGGCAGCTGTCCAGTACCGGCAGGCCAAACGTGCCGCGGCCCGGGCTGTTGCAGAGGCAAAAACCCGGGACTGGGAGGAGTTCGGAGAGTCCATGGAGCATGACTATCGGTCGGCCTCGAAGAGGTTCTGGCAAACCGTCCGGCGCCTCAGGAGGGGGAAGCAGTTCTTTGCCAACACCGTGTATGGTGCGGGTGGAGGGCTGCTGACCTCGACTGGGGATATTGTCGGGCGGTGGAAGGAATACTTCGAGGTTCTCCTCAATCCCCCCGTCACGTCCCCCGTCCAGGAGGCAGAGGCTGAGGATGTTGGGGCGGATACTTCCATCTCCCTGGCCGAGGTCACCAAGGTGGTTGGCAGCCTCCATGGTGGCAAGGCGCCGGGAGTGGATGAGATCCGTCCTGACTATCTAAAGTCTCTGGATGTTGTAGGACTGTCTTGGCTGACACGTCTCTGCAACATCGCGTGGCGATCGGGGGCGGTGCCAATGGAGTGGCAGACCGGGGTGGTGGTCCCTCTCTACAAGAAGGGGGACCGGAGGGTGTGTTCCAATTATCGTGGGATCACACTCCTCAGCCTCCCCGGTAAGGTCTACTCCAAGGTACTGGAGAGGAGGCTTCGTCCGATGGTCGAATCTCGGATTCAGGAGGAGCAGTGTGGTTTTCGTCCCGGTCGCGGAACACTGGACCAGCTCTATACTCTCCATCGGATACTCGAGGGTTCATGGGAGTTCGCCCAACCTGTCCACATGTGCTTTGTGGATTTGGAGAAGGCGTTCGACCGCGTTCCCCGGGGTGTCCTTTGGGGGGTCCTCCGGGAGTACGGGGTCCGGGGTCCTCTGCTGAGGGCTGTTCGGTCCCTGTATGACCGGAGCCAGAGCTGTGTTCACATTGCTGGCAGTAAGTCAGACCTGTTCCCGGTGCATGTTGGCCTCCGCCAAGGCTGCCCTTTGTCACCGGTTCTGTTCACTGTATTTATGGACAGAATCTCTAGGCGCAGCCAGGGGCCGGAGGGGGTCCGGTTCGGGAACCACAGGATTTCATCTCTACTTTTTGCGGATGATGTCGTCCTGCTGGCTCCAACGAACCAGGACCTGCAACATGCACTGGGACGGTTTGCAGCCGAGTGTGAAGCGGCTGGGATGAGAATCAGCACCTCCAAATCCGAGGCCATGGTGCTCGACCGGAAAAAGGTGCCTTGCCCTCTCCAGGTGGGTGGAGAGGTCCTTCCTCAAGTGGAGGAGTTCAAGTATCTCGGGGTCTTGTTCACGAGTGAGGGGAGGATGGAGCGTGAGATTGACAGGCGGATCGGTGCAGCGTGCGCAGTGATGCGGTCTCTGTATCGGACCGTTGTGGTAAAGAGGGAGCTGAGCCGAAAGGCAAAGCTCTCAATTTACCGGTCAATCTTCGTTCCCTCCCTCACCTATGGTCATGAGCTGTGGGTAATGACCGAAAGAACGAGATCGCGGATACAAGCGGTCGAAATGAGCTTCCTCCGCAGAGTGGCTGGGCGCTCCCTTAGAGATAGGGTGAGGAGCTCGGTCACACGGGAGGAGCTCGGAGTAGAGCCGCTGCTTCTCCACGTCGAGAAGAACCAGTTGAGGTGGCTCGGGCATCTGTTCAGGATGCCTCCTGGACGCCTTCCTGGGGAGGTGTTCCGGGCACGTCCCACCGGGAGGAGGCCCCGGGGAAGACCCAGGACACGCTGGAGAGACTATGTCTCTCAGCTGGCCTGGGAACGCCTAGGGGTCCCCCCGGACGAGCTTGAGGAGGTGTGTGTGGATAGGGAAGTCTGGGCGTCTCTGCTTAGACTGCTGCCCCCGCGACCCGGCAACGGATAAAGCGGAAGAAAATGGATGGAAAATGGATGGTATTGTACTTTATGCATGTGTTTTGTTAAAATGTGGGAAGTGAGTTGAAGTCTACGAGGTGCGCCATATAATTGAAGGTTACTTTCTTACTTACATAGGGAGGCAGTGTTTCAGATTCATGCCGCTACAATCTGGAACAGTCTCCATGAAAATGTGAGACAGGCTTTTTCTATGTTCTATGTTCATATCCAGCTGAAGTATTGTATCTTCACTCTTTGTTATGTAAATGTAAATGTGCACTTTATGGATCCCCGTAGGGAAATTTGTTCTCTGCATTTGACCCATCCTGATGCCGCTAAGGCTTACGTCAGGAGCAGTGGTCGCCGTAGTAACAGCGCTCGGGAACCCATCTCCAGATGTTGATGCTTGGCTTGGTCAGAAGAACTACCGGAGCTGGAGGATTTTACCTAGTGAGCACATTTTTAGTGGTAGGGGAAACTGGAGTACCCGGAGGAAACCTACGCAGACACGGGGAGAACATGCAAACTCCACTCAGAAAGGCCCTGTTCCGAGCGGGATTCGAACCCAGGACCTTCTGGCTGAGAGGCGAGAGTGTTATCCACCGTACCGCCCTTTTTTCTTTTATGTTTGAGTTGAATGCCTTGCGTGATTGTTTCTGTCTTCTTTTGTTCAGCAATTTGAGTTTCCTTGTATATGAACTGTGCCATACAAATAACCATGTGTCTCACCTCCATGAAGGCGCTGAGCGTGCTGTCTGTGGGGTTGTGGGTGATCAGGAACCTCATGTTTTTGTGACTCAGTTCAACTGGAGCCGGACGATTCATGACGACGGCTGCACCTGCGACCAGAGCATACGTTAGGAGTGGGGTCCGATGTACCTGTTGATGGTCCGGGTCAACAAATCCAGGAATCTGATCTGACTTAGAACTGGGGTCCATAAAATCTATGTCACTAGTTTATTGCTCTTCAAACAGTTTGCTTTTTTCACTAGTTTTCACATGTTTTTCTGGCCTCTGTCACATCTTTAGATTGGATTTGTCAAACAGTGAAAAAGACAGGAGGACTCTCACTCAACTCTCGTAGGGTATCTCTACATGCTGCCGTTAGGTCAGTTAATACACAGAAACAAAGTGTCCTATCACAACTATGCAGACGACACTCAGATCTATGTCTCACTGACTGCAGGAGAACATGGACCAGTGGACTCACTCCTTCACTGTATCCAACAGATCAGTGAGTGGATGCAAAACAACTTCCTTCAGCTAAACGCAGACAAAACTGAAATGATTGTTTTTGGTCCCCAGAAACAAAGAGAGAGCGTCATCTGTCACCTACAGTCTCTCTCCCTAAAACCTTCAAACAAGGTCAGAAATCTAGGGGTAATACTGGACTCAGACTTAAATTTTAATAGCCACATCAAATCAGTAACATCAGCAGCTTTTTACCATCTAAAAAACATTGCCAGGATCAAAAACATAGTGTCTAAAGCAGACTTGGAGATTCTTATCCATGCATTTGTCTCCAGTAGGTTAGACTACTGCAATGGCCTGCTCACAGGTCTGTCCAAACAGGCTGTAAAACAGCTGCAGTACATTCAAAATGCAGCAGCTCGAGTCCTGACTAGAACCAGGAAGTACGACCACATTTGTCCTGACTAGAACCAGGAAGTAAGACCACATTAGTCCAGTTCTCAGGTCTCTGCACTGGCTTCCTGTGGCTCAGAGAATATACTTTAAAACAGCTCTGCTTGTGTACAAGTCTCTCCATGGCCTCGCACCAAAATATATTAGTGACATGTTAGTCCCATATGAACCAGCCCGGACTCTGAGGAGCACAGGGACTGGACTCCTGTTAGTGCCCAGAGTCAGAACTAAACATGGGGAGGCTGCTTTTCAGATTCATGCTGCTAAAATCTGGAACAATCAGCTGTTTAGCTGTGCATACAACTGAGGGATTTTATATTTTTATCTTTCGTTTTAATGTTCTGTGATTATTTATGATTTTAATGCTATCTTGTTCAGCACTTTGAGTTGCCTTGTGTATGAATTGTGCTATACAAATAAACTTGCCTTGCCTTGCCTTGCCTTAGGGCTCTTTCTTATTAAGACTGATTGGTCAGTTGTTTGGGCTCATCTGGATTTACAAAGACAATATCACAATATATACACCTGGCGATCTCGGAGAATGCTAAACCAAAGATTATTTTTAAGATCAAAATGGTGAGCGTGACACAAACTGAGCAAGAGGAGTTTACTTTTCAATATAAGTCAATAGGAGCCAGATAGATTCTGCTTCATTGAGCTAGCGGGTTAGCATTGTCCACATACAGTACAGACCAAAAGTTTGGACAAACTTTCTCATTCAATGAGTGTTCTTTCTTTTCATGACTCTTGTCTGTAGATTCACACCCAGGCTGTGATAGGGCTGCTATCCAATAAGGAGAGTGATGGTGCTGGGCCAGATGACCTGACCTCCACAGTCACCGAACCCAATCCAGATGGTTTTGGGGTGAGCTGGACCACAGAGAGAAGGGGCCAATAAATGCTAAGCATCTCTGGGAACTCCTTCAAGACTGTTGAAGACCATTTCAGGTCACCACCTCTTGAAGCTCATCAAGAGAATGCCAAGAGTGTGCGAAGCAGTAATCAGAGCAAAAGGTGCTACTTTGAAGCGCCTAGAATATCCAGATTCAGATTCAGAATAATGCCATTTGCAGTAAAACCACATTGGAATACATTTTTAAAAGTCCCCAGTGTGCACAAGACAGGTACATACATAAAACAACATCAAAGTACAGAAATAAAACAGTAAACAATTGACACTGTTTCAATACAAGTGCAAGATTGTATATATTGAATATAAGACATATTTTCGGTTGTTTCATACTTTTTTCTTTTTTTTTTACTGTTTGATTCTCTGTGTTGGCAAATCGATTAATTTGTAGAGTCCTATGAGATAACTACTGTTGTGATTGAGGACTATACAAAAACAAATTGAATTGAATTGAGCGATGACATCATACCTGGAGCTCTTCCTCGTCAGCTGCTCTAGTGTGCGGTGAGTGGTTCCTCAGCGTCTGTCTTGTGTCTCTGTGACAGTGGGTCCCATTAGGTGGCTCCCTCCTTGGCGTATGTCTCTGGCTTCACGCGTTCACACTTCCAGAAGAGTCCAGGGGGAGTGGGTCCAGTCTTACCCCATTGGCCTGGGTCCTGCGTCAGCCTCAGAAGCGTGGGACTCTCCTTCAGCGCTCCGAGCTTCGTGCTGACATCCTCCTCTGCTTCAGATGTGTTGAGCGTGACAGTAGTCTCCAGTCCGCCGCACAAACTCCATCAACCACCAATTCTGAGGAAAACACAAAAAAAACACAAAACACAATTTTACACATAATGAACAGAGCTGTCTAAACAAGTCTCCAAACGAGGACAGACTGCACTTCCAGGGTCCTTCACTGCCTGGTGTCCATTATTATCATTAACCAGTATCCATGGACAGTCTTTGGTAACCATGGCTTCCAGAAGCACTCCGGCCAATCGCTGTCAGTCAGAAGACTTTAGTACCAGCTTGGCCTGGATAGAACCAGGACCAAGCAGGTGACTTCAAAAGTACCTGTTACCGCTTAAACAGGGTCGGTGGAATCAGGGCTGAACATGCTGGATTCTGCTTGTGAGCCTAGTCCTGTTAGACCTCAGTTGCTAAGCAGGGCAGGACCTGGTTAGTGCTATGATAGGAGACCTTGGGAGACCAGACATTGTGTTTAGTGACCAACACACTCCGACCACAGCTCTGAGGCCTCACAGAGCAGATTTATTTATACGTAGAGTAGTCTTGTGTGTGAACTTTCAGGAAAACATTCAAAATATAATTTGTATGTTTATGGTCGTAAACCTGACAAAATGTGCAAAAGTTGAAGGTGTATTAATACTTTTGAGAGGAACTGTATGTACTATGCCAGCCCAGAACCGTCCCAGAATCAACTGAACTGGCAAATGGGTGTAAAATGGGCACTATGTATTCTATCTGATGGTCTAATAAACTTATGGTGAATGTGTGACGACTGCACGTGTGTCGCCTCAGACGAGGACAGAGCAGAGTAATCTGTGTGTAAGCTCTCTCACCTTTTATAGTACTACAGCCACTTACAGCTCAGCCAGGGTACACGCTATCCAGAGACCAGAGACCAGTGTCACCTCTTACCACTGGTTGAACTACAGCCACTCATGTAGAGCTCAGTCAAAGTACAAGCTATGTTCCCTCACTTCCCTGGTCTCCAGGAATCAGACCAGAGGCCGGAGACAAGAGACAGGAGACAAGAGACCAAAGTGGCCGTTATTCCCGGCTTTGGACCCACTGTGCTGCCAAGAAGACCAAACCAGGACCAGAAAAGTTCAAACCTGGATTAGAGCCCAAACTGGCCGGTCTGTCCCCTCTCATGCTTCTCGCTGCCAACAGCGACAGAAGGCTCCTGATTGGTCAGTTGTTAAGACTCTTGTTTTGATTTACAAAGACAACATCACAATATAAACACCAGGGTCGAAGAGAACGCTAAACCACAGACTTTTTTCAATTGAAATTGAGTGTAACACAAACAGTTACTGAGCTAGAGGAGTTTACTTTTCGATGTAAGGCAATAGGACAGTAGTAATAATGGCTTTTGTCTTGTATTTTTAATTATACATGTAGTTTGTTTGTTGCTCAAATGAAGATATATGGTAACACTTTAGATTAGCTCTCACTAATTAACAGCTAATTAGTTTGACCTAGTGTACCAGAGACCAGCAAGAGACCAGAGAGAGACCAGAGAGAGATCTACTCAGTGGCACGGTGGCTGAGTGGATAGCACTCTTGCCTCTCGGCAAGAAGGTCCTGGGTTTGGTCAGACCAGGGCCTTTCTGAGTGAAGTTTGCATTTTCTCCCCGTGTCTGCGTAGGTTTCCTCTGTGTACTCCGGTCATTGGAGAGAGATCAAAGACCAGTGAGAGATTAGAGAACAGAAAGGATGAAAATACATATGAAAACTGATGGATGTTTTAGAGCCAGGAACAACAGACATGGATTGTAAAACATATAGTTTTATAGCCAGACTAAAATCAGGCCCAAGACCAGACCCATACTAAAACCAGACCCAAGACCAGACCTGTACCAAAACCAAGACCAAATCCAAACATTCATTAATTCACAATGTACCTGTCAAATAAACTAATACATAAATAAATAAAAGACCAGATCCCATTCTATAACCAGGCCCAATTCCCAGTTCAGACCAGACCTGTACCAAACCCTGGTAGTTACAGTATTACAGAGTTGTATTGCTGTGGTTATACGCACCCCAGGACAGTGTGGTTGCTAGCTAACGTGCTAACACATAAACCGTGTGACGCTGGTCTGCAGTTCAGGCGCTGACATGACAGCAGCTGATGGACGCTTTTAGCAAAGACACCGCACAGAACACGGATACTTCACATACTCTGATTGATACGATTTTATTTATAGTCCCAGCTCAAGTCATAGCTCTTCCAGAATTGATATTATTGGACGTGGAAAAAACTGAGACAAAAACACATATATATATATATATTTGCCTGAATCACCAAATTTATCTCTCTTTTCTCCAACATTGTTCCTCACCATTTTGAGTTTTACTTCCTGTACATGGGGTGGTGGTCTTTTGTTTTAGAGCTGATAGATTGTAAATAAAGTTGTGAATGTATTGAAATTATGTTACGTGTTATGTTATGAATAATAATCTTTTGACATAATCGGAATCAAGAAAAGAAAAATTGATCTAATGGAACATCATAAACAAATATTGTACGTATGAATCCAACTATATCTGCTCAATTTCCTTGGAATTTGCTTGAATCTTGGAAAATCGCAAGGGGCAAACAACGAACCAAATGATGTCATAATTTCAAATCAAGAAAGTCTGGAGTGAGAGACAAGAGAGAGACCAGAAAGACATGGAAGAGATTGTTGTGAGTCTAAATGAGAAATGATATAAACTTGTGTAGAGAGATCCACCCACCTCCAAATAATATATTCTCTTCAGTTTTTAAAGGGTTGCCTGTGATATTTAGTCTTAGTGGTCAAATAAAGACATTGCAATCACAATGTTGTTGGCAGAACCTTCCTCGTGTGACACATTAGTACAATAAAGTGGATTAGTACAATCCACTTTATTTATACAGCACATTTCATAAACACAAAAAAGTGCTGCACAATAATACACTGAAGCATGATTTAAAAATCCATGTAGCAATGGTACAAACTCTGTGTGTTACGTTCAATTCTTATTCTTGTCATTCTTTTAGTAATTTAAGGTTAAAAAAAAAGATAAACCAGCTAAATTTCACCTAACAGACTGGAAACCCAAATGAGAGCCTCATTCTGCTCTCTGATTGGACGATCTGCTCAAAAACTGTAAACGTAAAAATACCATCATCTTTACTGTTTTTTAAATCAAGAATAATTCCACTTTAAACTGTTAGACATGTGACTTGTTTTCTGGGGACACATGTAAAAAATGATGTCAGAGAGATGTCATTCAAAGTGTCAAAAAATATTCAGATTTACATTTGTTTTGACTGAAAATAAGATTTACTTAAATATAAAGTGAAGGAAAGACTTGTGCTTCCATAAGGTTAAATGTTATTAATGTGAATAAGAAATGACACAATGACCTGAACTACAGAGTTGGGAGCAGTGCAGGGACCCATGCTTGAAAGTATCCATCCATCCATTTTCTTCCGCTTCATCCATTGCCAGGTCGCGGGGGCAGCAGTCTAAGCAGAGACGCCCAGACTTCCCGCTCACACACCTCCTCCAGCTCGCCCGGGGGGACCCCAAGGCATTCCCAGGCCAGCTGAGAGACATAGTCTCTCCAGCGTGTCCTGGGTCTTCCCCGGGGCCTCCTCCCGGTGGGACATGTCCGGAACACCTCCCCAGGGAGGCGTCCAGGAGGCATCCTGAACAGATGCCCGAGCCACCTCAACTGGTTCCTCTTGACGTGGAGTAGCAGCGGCTCTACTCCGAGCTCCTCCCGTGTGACTGAGCTCCTCACCCTATCTCTAAGGGAGCGCCCAGCCACTCTGCGGAGGAAGCTCATTTCGACCGCTTGTATCCGCGATCTCGTTCTTTCGGTCATTACCCAAAGCTCATGACCATAGGTGAAATGATTACAATTACAATCCAACTAACTTAAAGCTGCGGTATGTAACTTTTGAAACATAACAGTGGAACGCTGCAATAAAATCCATGTCACTAGTTCCTGGCTCAAGAGCAGCTTCTATCTCTAGTTTTCACATGCATCTATGTTTGGGCTCTTCACATCTTTAGATCAGCTTCAGACAGAAACATGGAAAAGAGAGGACCACCCTCCCTCAGCCAATCAGCTCTCAGCCCAAAATTAAAGTGAAATAGTGCCTCACAGTGATCTAAATGATACAAAAGTTGCTCTAATAAGAAGTTTTATAATGAGATGAAGACAGCATGTTGTGGTGTGATTTTATCACAACATTTTACTTTTTGAAGACTCACCCTAACCCAGTTGCACAAACTACATATAATATTTATGAAGCCACAAAGTTAGGAACCCCTGCTTTAATCAAATTACCTTGTGTGAAATTATGACCAAAAAACACAACACTGAAATGTTACTTGTGATGATCTTTAAGAGTAGTTAGCTTCTTTCACCCCCAATGTCATCTGTGTATATGTTTAGCATTTTCTTTTTTTCTCAACTCAAAGTGTCATTTCTGTCTGTGTAGCTAGTAACGTATGACTGTAACTTCCCCCACACTGGTCGTGAGTAGTTGAAAATGAGCCAATAGAAGCGCCCCAAACTGAGACGAGCCTCTACACATTTGAAAACCACACTAAAAGTTGACATTGTGTGGTACTCACCGCTGAGCTGTTGGGTGAAAGCAGCAGTTCTCGGGGGTCTCTGCAGAGTGGAGTCCAGCTGGTCCCTGTGTTCTGTCTGTGGCTGAAATATCAAGTGAAAAACGGAGCCAATGCAAGCAGTGCAAAGTAAAGCCTGTGTCACGACCTGTCGCTGTGAGCCTGAAATAGAGCCCTGAGAGAACTGAGGCTGGGGCTGGACTGGGCTGGATCTGGGGCAGGTTCCTGGGCTGGGTTTGGGGCAGGTCTTGGGCAGGTACTGGGCTGGACTGGGCTGGTCCTGGCTTGTGTGTGGCTGAAGGAGAGGATCTAATCAGGCTGAGTAGCATCTGACCCGGACAGCCCTCAGTCCTGTCACCAGCAGAACTCTAATGCTCTTAGTCAGAAGAGGCTCTTCTCTGCAGCCATTCACACACTAATGCCCACACAAACACACACACATAAACACACACACACACACACATACATGCAAACACATGCACTACTTGCATTACATGTACACTTACACGTATACATACACATACAGATTCACAAACACACACACATGGACACAATTACACAAAAACACACACATGCACACACAGACACATTTACACAGACACACACACACAGGGCTCTGTTCCTAACATATGATGAAAGGTAAACATCCAAGGATGTTTTACGACACTCGTCCTTGACCTCAGAGCATGATGCTGCCCCCCCTACGTCTGACACTGGTGTGAGTGATGAGCAGTTAGTTACATTTGGGCCAAACTTTCCATTTCAGATTCAATGTATTTACCTTTGCAGCTAAAACTTACATTGACACATTAACAACTTTTTCTCTGACCTCTCTGGTGTCTCCTTGGACCTCCTCCCTGACCTCAAACCGCTCTGGTGTCTCCTTGGACCTCCTCCCTGACCTATAACCTCTCTGGTGTCTCCTTGGACCTCCTCCCTGACCTCTAAATGCTCTGGTGTCTCCTTGGACTTCCTCCCTGACCTCTCTGATGTCTCCTTGGACCTCCTCCCTGACCTATAACCTCTCTGGTGTCTCCTTGGACCTCCTCCCTGACCTATAACCTCTCTGGTGTCTCCTTGGACCTCCTCCTGACCTCTCTGGTGTGTCCTTGGACCTCCTCCCTGACTTATAACCTCTCTGGTGTCTCCTTGGACCTCCTCCCTGACCTCAAACCGCTCTGGTGTCTCCTTGGACCTCCTCCTGACCTCTCTGGTGTCTCCTTGGACCTCCTCCTACCTCACTGGTGTCTCCTTGGACCTCCTCCTGACCTCTCTGGTGTCTCCTTGGACCTCCTCCTACCTCACTGGTGTCTCCTTGGACCTCCTCCTGACCTCTCTGGTGTCTCCTTGGACCTCCTCCTGACCTCTCTGGTGTGTCCTTGGACCTCCTCCTGACCTCTCTGGTGTCTCCTTGGACCTCCTCCCTGACCTCTGACCTTTCTGGTATCTCCTTGGACCTCCTGGTGCTGTTTAGCCCTGAGGCCCTCCCGGAACATTCATGGCCATTGTCGCTTGTTGTCAAAGACATATGGGAGACATATGTCAAATGTCAAATGTATGGAAGGAGGAGCCTGGACTTCACACTTCCTCATGTGCGGCTGGTGCAGGAGTGGTGTCTGCTCTTGTTTTGTTCCTCTCGCTCCTCGCTTCACATTCTGGACCCACTATAAATAGAAAGGCCTTTGAGAGACTCGAGCCGTTGGGCAAACCAGGGACCAGCTCTCTGACTTAACAGAATAACATTTCCCCTAATGTGACATAGACATCGTTTCCCTGAATGTTGCCCGTGTATGAGATTAAAAAGTAGTTAAAAATAGTTTTTCGACACTTTTGCTTTTGAAGTTTAAAGCTTGAGGAGCTAACTTTCAAACCACAGAGCTATTTTTATCATCCATGTTACTTGCTCTCAGGCTCTAAAAAGTTATGAAAAATAAGTCAAAAATTGCCCAAATTTGGCAAAAAGTATCTTAATTTGAGCACATTCGACTGTCTTAAAACAAGAATTGTCAAAGGGACAAAGCAAAATGATTTTGTTTTAACAAGATACAAGAAATGTCTCCTTTGGAATGAGAAAATAAAGCAATAGTTCTTGGCCTCTGTCACATGAAGGTCCATTGCATTATGTTTTCAACGCAAACGTCATTTTAATTCATTTTTATTTCAGACTCAAAATTCATTGGTCCATATTTTAAAAGAATGGGAAAATGTTAGACCTGTTCCTTGATCTAGTTTTGTCACCTTTCAATCTCCAGCAGGTGACCACCTCCTTACAACAAGTGCTGCTATGCTGTCACAGTAACACATAAGATCCACAACATTATTTTAAATTGCATCTACAAATTGTATATGTGCCCCCAGATGATAGGTTAACAGTCCCCCGTCCTTCACGTTTGTCTACTCAAGCTTTTTCAAACATAAAAGTGAAAAAGAGAGGACCACCTTGACTCAGCTAATCACCTTGACCAATCAGCTCTCAGCCCAAAGAGTCAGATTGGGACTCGGAGTAGGTTTAGTCCGGATCTGGTCTGAGCCTGGTTTTGGTTCAGATCTACCGAGCCTCAGGGGCAGACTTTCTTTGAAGATTTTGCCATAACTCTCCATCAACTAACGTTCCTCTCTGTCCTTGCTGAAGAAACGCAGCCCCATGACATGATGCTACCACCCCCACATTTGACTTTGGGGATGTTGCACTGAGGGAGATCAGCAATGTTATTTTTGAACCACATTTTTGGATTTGAGCCAGAGTTATATTTCCTCTGACCACATTACTTTCTTTCACTTGAACACCTGCTTTTTTTCTTGCAAATTTCTCACTCGCCAAATTTGTTTAGAGAACGAGTATTTGACCCATGTTCAGATTCTCCCAGGTGAACCATGAGCTTCATGTCAGCATTTTAAAATAATATTCATGGGTTTTATATAGGGCTTTTTTGGACATTCAATGACGCTTCACGTGTCATTATTCATTCACTCCATACACGGTGGTGATAAACTACTACTGTAGCCACAGCTGCCCTGGGGCACACTGACAGATGCAAGGCAACCAGTCTGTGCCATCGGCCCCTCCGACCACCACCAAACATTCACACACACACTAGACTCATTCTAGGCAATGTGGGTGAAGTGTTTTGCCTAAGGACATTTTACAGCCACAGACGCCGAATTGTGGCCCATGGTGTTCTCGGAGGTCTCCCATCACAGTACTAACCAACCCCTGCCCTGCTGAGCTTCAGGCTTCAAGCTACAGACCATGTCTTGGTACAGTAGGTTCGCAGTTGTGCCATACTTTTCCTTCCGAGAATATATTGAACAGTACTCAGTGTCTACCACTGAGCACTGTTCACATTATACAAAGGTTTGATAATGTCTATCAAACCTTTGTATAATGGTGATTAATGGCTCACAGTTAAAAACCCCAAATAAAACCCATCCATGCCATGCATTTTTTTCCACTTCATTCGTTGCCAGGTGGCGAGGGAAGCAGTCTAAGACATAAAATGGACTGTAAGCCAAAATCAGCAACATTCTAACAAAGAATGGTTCATGTCATTTTAAAATGAGTCTATAAAATATTTTTTTTCACATTGACCTTTGATGTTTTTCACACAGTCCCAGCCTAAAATCTCTGGACAGAAGGTTCGAAAATCTCTCTGTGGTCTCTCTCCTGTCTCTCTGGTCCGTAGTCTCTCTCTGGTCTCTCTCTTGTCTCTCCGGTCTCTCTCTCTGATCTCTCTCTGGTCTCTGGTTTCTCTCTGGTTTCTCTCTGGTCTCTCTCTCTGGTCTTTCTCTGGTCTCTGGTTTCTCTCTGGTCTCTCTCTGGTCTCTCTCTGGTCTGTCTCTAGTCACTCTCTGATCTCTCTCTGGTCCCTCTCTGGTCCCTCTCTGATATCTCTCTGGTCTCTTTCTTGTCCTCCTGGTCTCTTTCTGGTCTCTTTCTTGTCTCCTTGGTCTCTCCCTGGTCTCTCTCTTGTCTCCCTTGTCTCTCTCTAGTCTCTCTCTCTCTCTAGTCTCTCCCTGGTCTTTCTCTTGTCTCTCTCTTGTCTCCCTTGTCTCTCTCTAGTCTCTCTCTCTCTCTCTCTCTAGTCTCTCCCTGGTCTTTCTCTTGTCTCTGTCTTGTCTCTCTTGTTCTCTCTTAGTTGTCTCCCTGCTCGTTCCTATCTTCCCGATACAGTTCCAAACAACACGCCTGCCTTTCCCAACAAATGTCTTATTTCCAGCAGGACGTGTTGCCAGTTTGATAAATGTCATGTGAAGAAGTCTGTGTCCCCTGACTGTCCTGTCGCACGATAAAAATGTCAGCTGAGGTCTGACCTACACCAGCTGATCACATTTATCTGAGGTCTGAACCAGGCTTAAATGAGGTCTGAACCAGGTCTGAACCAGGACTGAACCAGGTGTGAGGTCACATGCTCTGCTTTCTTTAGCCCAACCTTTCCCATCAAAAACACACAGAGCTGACACGGTTCCAAAGCTGTGGGACACGTACATCACGGGATTAAACAACAGAAGGTCATTAGCTTGAGTTTGGAACCAGGAAAATCTTGCCTCAAACTGTATCTTGATTGTTTCATTCTATTTTGTGAGAAAAGTTTGACAACAAAAATCCACTACCACACAATCCACCACCTCCAAACAATGTGATAGACCAGCCATTCCCAAACTCAGTAACACTGAGGCCCCCTTAAAAATCTGACGGGTCTGTGTGGCCCCCCAAAATAATAACCAAGAAGACAACATTAAGAATAGGCTCTTCTGGTTATTTTATTTTGGGGAAATAGCCTCTGCTACAAACATTGTAATACAAAAATGATTACAGTGGATTATTCAAGTCAAATAATGAACACAAATATTTTAATATTACAAACAAAACATTATAAATTTAACATTAAATAATTATATATATATATTTTTATGACCTCCCGCGGCCCCCCTGCAGTACCCTTGCGGCCCACCAGGGGGCCGCGGACCCCACTTTGGGAGACACTGTGATAGACGGACAAAGACCAGAAGAGAGACCAGAGAGAGATCAGTGAGAGATCAGAGAGAGCAGAGAGAGAGCAGAGAGAGATCAGAGAGAGACCAGAGAGAGACCAGAGAGAGATCAGTCAGAGACCAGAGAGAGACCAGAGAGAGACCAGAGAGAGAGAGAGGCTAGTGAGTAAGACCAGGGAGACACAAGAGAAAGAGAGACGAGAGCGAGACCAGAGAGAGACCAGAGAGAGACCAGAGAGAGACCAGAGAGAGATCAGTCAGAGACCAGAGAGAGAGAGAGGCTAGTGAGTAAGACCAGGGAGACACAAGAGAAAGAGAGATCAGAGCGAGACCAGAGAGAGACCAGAGAGAGATCAGAGAGAGACCAGAGAGAGATCAGAGAGAGACCAGAGAGAGAGAGAGGCTAGTGAGTAAGACCAGGGAGACACAAGAGAAAGAGAGATCAGAGCGAGACCAGAGAGAGATCAGAGAGAGACCAGAGAGAGATCAGAGAGAGACCAGAGAGAGACCAGAGAGAGAGAGAGGCTAGTGAGTAAGACCAGGGAGACACAAGAGAAAGAGAGACAAGAGCGAGACCAGAGAGAGACCAGAGAGAGATCAGAGAGAGACCAGAGAGAGACCAGAGAGAGACCAGAGAGAGATCAGTGAGAGACCAGAGAGAGAGAGAGGCTAGTGAGTTAGACCAGTGAGACACAAGAGAAAGAGAGATCAGAGCGAGACCAGAGAGAAACCAGAGAGAGACCAGAGAGAGATCAGAGAGAGACCAGAGAGAGACCAGAGAGAGAGAGAGAGAGGCTAGTGAGTAAGACCAGGGAGACACAAGAGAAAGAGAGACCAGAGAGAGAAAGAGACTAGTTAGAGAGACCAGAGAAACCATAGAGACAAGAAAGCCAGCTCTAAGCCCTAAGAGTCAAACAGTGACTCACAGGGCTCTCTCTTTACACAATAGATAACATGTTTTCTAATGCTGGTCAGAAGCATCTAGAATGAGATGTGTTTATGGTGCGGTGGGACTGTGTAAGCTGTTGTTTTCATTGACCCAGAGCCCGTAACTACCTCAGCCCTGTCTTTCACAGAAGCTCTAATCCGGTTGAGTCACTGTTTGTCTGCAGCAGTAAAAATAGCCGCCAGAAAAAGTAAACAAACAATTAAACAGCGTTACAACACTTCTCCCCTTCTCTTCTGCATGTGTCCATACCTGCAGGTCAGACCTCTGAGGCTAAGCAGGGCAGGGCCTGGTTAGCACTGCGATGGGAGACCTCTGTGAACACCAGGTGCCACAGTGGGGCGGCTGCTGCCATGAAATGTTTTGTTGTGTCCATAGGCAAGACACTTCACCCACATTAGAATGAGTCTGATGTGTGTGTGAATGGTTGGTGGTGGTGGGAGCGGCTGATGGCACAGACTGGTTGCCTCGCTTCTGTCGGTGTGCCCCAGGGCAGCTGTGGCTACAGTAGAAGTTTATCATCACCGTGTATGGAATGAATGAAGTGTCTTTGAGTGACAAGAAAAGATGGATAGATAGATACTTTACTG